AATTTTGAGCGTGTGTTTTGCTCCCGAGGTAGTTGAATTGATGAATTTTGAGCGTGTGTTTTGCTCCCGAGGTAGTTGAATTGATGAATTTTGAGCGTGTGTTTGGCTCCCGAGTAGATAATTCAAGTGTAGATGAACGTGAGTGCATCTTCGGTATTTTAGAGTAATTAATGTGCATGAATTCTAGAGTAATTATGTGACAGGAGTCGGTTAGTGTAGTCGATATTACAAGTCGTAGAGAATACGAATAATCGAGTTTTTGCCGTAAGCCGCCATAATGAAAAGATTTGAGAGCGTTCTTTAGCCGTTGAGATTCGCAGAAATCAGATGAGACAGGAGAACGCATGTGGTGGTCGTTGCCGCGCGAATGTATGGCGCTGCCGCTGAGAGACGAACGCATGTGAGTAGGCGAGTTGAAACACGCAGAGTTTTAGAACACCGAGATTGACGCGGTGCTGCGACGCAACGCGAGCATAGCCATTCGCAATCGTGCCCTCGCTGTGTACAGATCGCTCTGTGTTTTTCGTATAACCTAATCTGATTTCAAAATTACGTTCAGCCTTTATTTTATTCAAGTAGTATTTAGCCTGTAAGTTGTTTGAGCCTTAAATTATATTTGGCAATATAGTTTTTAATTGTATTTTCACAAATTCATATATTATTTGAGCCCTTATCGAGAGTGTATTTCAAGTTTACGCCATCCGGTAAATTCATTGTGGCGAAACAAGCAAGTGGAGATATACGCGAATCTTCGAGCCTTTCAATTGTACAGCCGAAAAAGTATTTGCATCCTTGCAAATAGTGTGCGTGAAATTTATAATCAAGTGTTATAACGTGAAATAAGTGTGATCAGTAGTGCGTGCCCGAGTAAATTTCGTTTGAGTCGCGAGTACTTGTAGCTCCCGTAAATCATTTGTGTTAGTTAGCCATTGTAAAATCAATCATGGAGGCTTACAACCGACAGATGACCACGTTGATGCAACTTTCGCGCGAGAATCGTATGGTGAAACGCGAAATTTGTCAGATGGACGTCGCGAATATCTGTGATGAGTTGAGCCGACGACAGTGTAGTACGCTGGGGCCGATACGGATGCTGCAAGAACGTCTACTACGTGCGCGCTTACGAGACGACCCACGATATTGTGACGCAGTGCCGTGGTTTGATACTGACGTTATCTCTAGCGACACCGAACCCGCCGTATTGTCGCATCTGAGTGAGAGATCGGGAAATGACGCGAATGAGCTTGTGCACGGTGACGAAACGAGTTCGGAAGACGAAGGACCTACTGTTATGGTTGGCGAGGCAGAAGTACATGTCCCGCACGACAAGTCATTCGAGCCATCGGATTCGGTCGTAACAAAATCGAGACGCGAACACGCCGAGCCAAATGCATCATTGCCTGTACCGTCATTTCGAGCCAAGCCTAACCTCTTGAGTCCGGTGCCGACAAAGGACGTGCCTCCGCGAGTAATTATTCATAAAGAGATATTGAAATCTTTGCGTACGCAAGATTACCATCTCACGATAGCGGAGCGAGTAAGTGAGCAGAGAACGAGTATTCGATCGACTAGAGCCGCCGGCAATGTTCTGAGTAAGCCGAGTACTAGTAACTCGTCTAGAAAGTCAATTTTGAAGCCGCAAACTAATAATACACTACTGAAGCCCTTTATAAAGAATGAGCCCAATCAAATCGAGCCATCGGTAGAATCGCACACTGAATCTGACACAGATGACGAGCCTACTGTGTGGCATACGCCTCACCTGGAATGGCCTGAAAATTGCCGTGATTATGCAGACAAAGGTGTAACAAGTAATATTAATTCGCCCCGAGATTTTGACCGTGGAAATTCGTCTGCTATAAAGCCTAGATTTGCGCCGATATTCAAGCCGCGCACTTGTGATGACAGTACCCCGCGAACTTCTCACAATACGAATGCGTCGTTTACAGCCAAGTCGAATCCGTTTGGCAAACAAAACCAAACACTGCCAGAAAGAAGCCGAGTACATTATTATCAGACGAATAGACTCCTCGGTTATATGTCTGATGAAGCTGAAGAGCAACCTTGTTCGCGACCACGCGAACTTGAATATTCTGCCGGTAAATTGAGAAGTTGCAAGCCAGTTGAGCCGGTAGTTGATACTCGTCGTGCTTCATTCGATCACGGTGGTGTATCAGGTAAAATTCAAGCCGTCAAGTCACTAAAAACTTGGAACCTGAAGTTCTCTGGCGAGGAAAAAGACGAGGACGCCGAAGACTTCCTTGACCGATTAAATAAGTGTGTGTATAATTCGGGTCTTGTTGCCGCAGACATTTTGAGTGCATTGCCGTGTATACTATCGAAGCGAGCTCTTCGTTGGTGGCACACAATTGAAAATCGAGTAAATAGTTGGGGACAGTTCGAAGATAAATTTAAACATCAATTTATCGGAAAATATGATTATTGGGATTTGATGGACGATTTGCAAAAGCGAACCCAAGCCAAAGGAGAACGTATCTCGTCGTACTTATCGTGTTTCCAGTACATCGTTTCACGTTTTTCCAGACCTCCATCAGAGGAGGAATTATTGAATATTGCTTATCGAAATTTATTGCCGGAATATCGCCACTCTATGGCCGATAAAGTAATTGAGACGTTTGAGCAGTTAGAACATTTGGGCCATTTATGGGAGCGTAAGAAAAATTTAGATATGCGCTATGTTCCACCTGCACCTGCTGAGCAAATGTATGTACCAGGAGGAGCGTACAATCCATAGCGACAGCATCAAGTTGAACGTGATTGATTATTGAGACGAATATTTATAATGCCGATGCCTTGAGGAAGTTTCAGCCAACGTAGAGCCAAGATTCAAAGCACGGCTCTTGAATTCAGAGTCGAAGCGCTATATCGAGCCATACTCATGTATCAGCACGTATAATCATTTACTGGTTGTTCTGAGCAGGTAATTTATAAAGCCAACACTTCAAGGCTAGGATCACTATAATGGAAATGCCATCCGGCCCACTGGACATAGGGAATTGTCACCAGCCCTCGACCGAAGAAGGACATAATCTGATGAGTTGCGCCCAATGGAGGTAAACTCGAAGTTCTGGATAATCAAGCCTGATTGGACGACCATCGACGACCGAATCGCTTGGCTACAACGACAGCTGGTTTTCAAGGCCAACGATCTAACCTTGTGATGCCTCGCAATGCCGGAGAGTGCTCCAATCTCGAAAGTACTTTTATCAGAGAATATTCCAAATCCGGAGGCACTCGGAAGATACTCTTCGAGCCGGCCGAAGTATATAGTGATGGAGATCGGACGATCAAAGTACTCCGACTGACTGGCCGTTCATCGACTGCAAAATTATGAGGATGGACGATACCATGCCTTGCTGGCCGAGTGCTGCAGGATCTTTTTAAATACCACATCAGACCAATGCATCGCCACTACGCCAGTCATGAGCTTCCAAAGGAAGGACTATGCTGTTAATTATCGTCAAGCCGAAAGTGTAGCAGAACATCTGTCAACATCGCTGTCATCCTTGAAGCAGTCGAGCTCACCGTCATCGCCAGGCAAGCTAAAACTTCCAGAATATTCAAGAGCGCATACGAGGCCAGTTTCTTCCTTCGAGCAGAGCCAGGATGAGAAGATTGAAATCCTAATTTTAAGATAGCCTAAGAAGTTGTAAATTTATTAGCCGTATTGTTATTGTGTTTTTAGCCGCCAATGTAAGTCGAGCCCAGTGATATTTCCCTTTTGTATTGTGGTATTTCAGACATGAAAATTATGTAAATATTTCAAGTCTTGGGGGGAGGTATGTGACACTGTGGACCAGTGCACGCAGACTCTTATGTGTAGTTCGTAGGCACGACAGCAGCGCCTCGTCGCTTTTGCGTATCGAGTCGAGACTTGCCTCGCTCTCTCGTTGTTGGGACGTCGAAGTGTGCGGACGTGCACGGAGATGCAGAGACACGTAAGAATTGAGCCTGAGTTTTTGAGCCACGGATCGTTGTAAAATGTGAGATTCAGGAGAGTAGAGCAATTAGATTTAATCATTTAGCCGATTATGTGAATAATTAATTGTAAGTTTGGAATATGTGTATGCGAGATGCGTCTATGAGTGATTTTAGCCGTAATGTATGCGTGTGTCAATGCTGTGACGAGTGTAGATTAGTAAAGTCGTATAGAAAGACAGTTCATTTTGTAACGTTGAGAAAATAAAATAGTCTTTGTTTTAGCCGTATATCTGCGTTTTTCCCGATCATTTTCACAACCCTGTCCCGGCAGATGAAGCCCACGACCGTTGGAATAAGCAAAGGGTCTTTCACATGAGAAGGGAAAAGAAAATTTCCCCTCTACGACTCTGCACCGGGAAGCAGTGTCGCAAATGAACGAATGACTGAAGTCCCAGTACAGGTTTTTACCTATCACTTTAGGTGTTACACTTAAGAGGGTCTGGCAGCTCGATTTTGACTCAAACCTATTCAAAATATGTATGACTTTAAATTAAAAAATATTTCCAAGAAAACTAAAAAAAAATCATCTCGATACGATCAAAATTGACGGAGATCTAAGAATCTTCAACCTATTATATTTACAAAGATATCGATGCGACAGTTACCTGTTTCTATTTATTTTTTGTGGGGTCTTATTTCTTTTGCGTTTTCTGGCACGTAATGTTTTTTAAAAAAGTATTTAAGCGATTCAATAGTATGAACGAACCATGTGAGCTATACCCAGTTGAAAAAAATTGCATGGATATCCACGAGGATTAGACATGGATAGCATACGCAGATCGGACAACGATTCCACGTGGATCATACATGGATGGACAAAAATTCTAAGTTGGTGGTTTTTCAACTCTTCGAGGACCTTGGACTTGTTTTGCGAGCTCGCTCCAAGTATCCGCGAGGTAATGTCGGTGAATCGTAGTGGAATTTAATTTCTCCACGGTGATAATTGATTAATCCACGAGGATTTTTGCGAAAATCGTCGTGGGTTGATAAAAAATATGCGTAGGTATTATGTCAATCCTCGCGGTTTACTTACATAGGCAATTTATTTAATCCACGTGGTATTAATGCCTGACCCTCGAGAAATCTATGTATGATCCGCGTGGAATCGGTGTGATAATCAACGCGGATATCCATGCAATTTTTTTCAACTGAGTAGTGTTCAGGTCGTGTGCGGTGTGCACTATTTTATATGGATCATCAATGGGTTATCAACAGGATCTCAAAGGAAAGATTGAACCACTTGTCCTTCTCGAGTTTTATAATGGATATTAAAAAAAAAATAAAGTGGAAAAAAATTCTTGATGTTTCTTTAAGGCGACCCATGGGTCAAATCACCTCAGTACTTTTTGCTTGTTTTTTGAAACTTGAAAAATAAAAAGTTCCTGAAGTTGCCTGCTTTAATTACATCAGCTACCTGCAGCAGTGCACCAGATCATCGAAATCCGAGTCGTCTTTTAAACCTTCCTTTGATTTAGATCACTTAAAAATCATCACCAAAAACCTAGGACTTGGCGTCGACCTTGGAAATCTTCCTGACAGAAGTTTTCATTTTTACGGTTCCGTTTTTCCTAACGCTCCCCCACGAAGATGAAGGTTTCTAGGAAAGTTTTAGAGTGAAAGAACATCTCGTACTTTAATTTGGTTCTCTTTTATAGCTATAGTTATAATTTCCAAATCCATAAATCACCAAAAAAAAGAATTGATCTAGAAATTGGGGTACAAACTTTGGCTCGATTATACATAAGTGAATAATAAATTTGGTTGGACTTTTAAGTAGATTCCAATTGAATCCATTTACATTTTCAGGTGGAAATTTTTCAACAAAGAGATGTAATGTTACAAACTAGCAGCTAACTAAGAATTTAAACTTGCATGTAGTAGTTGACCGATCATAATGGTGTGAGAATCCTTTCCAACGTCATTAAACGGACTAAGAATCTGATACAGAAATTCAGTACTTACCCAATAAATTTCCCGTATTGGGAAGTCATGAATGTATAGGTACACATCACGTGTTATTTTTCTTGGTTTTGTAGAACATGTTTACCCTCTCTACCTCTCACATTACTTTCCGATACCCTGTAAGCTTACCATGATGGACTGCCATTAAGTCACTATGTCACTGACACAGTGTGGAAGTCATAGAAATGGTGGTTTGACAGCACTAAGGGTTCATTAGATGTAAAACAGTTTGGTTTTAAATTCGTCTCATAAGAACTAGTGGAATAGGGTAAAATCCACCATGCCCTATTCCTTTAGTTCTAATGTAAATTAACATTGAACGCGTAGAGGCGCTGCAGTATCATATACTCCTCAATTACTTGAACACATGAGAATAATATGATGTATCAATTAATTTTTAATAACATTTATTAGAATTACAGAAAAGAAGTCACAATCGAGACTTAATATAAACCTTGGCGAAGGCTTATCATATTTTATTTTTAAAGATTTAACAAAAATTTGTTTATAATTTTCTCCAGAAAGCAATATAGATTATTGATATAATCATTTTTTGTCTTTTAATAAGATTATCTAAACCGCTTCGACAAATAGTAAATAAGTAATTAATAGTTAAATTTCTTATATCCATTGGTACATTTTTTCACTCCAGTTTGTTACTGTTTACGTTTTTTGTCTTCTTGCTGGAAAAAGTTAATCATCATTTAAAATTTATCTTCCACAAATATCAATAATTTTAATTACGATTGAAAAAACAAAGGCACTACTTGAACTTTGCGATGCCGATTCAGGGACAGGGACTATATACTATAACAATGTATCTATAGGGCATTTTCCAATTGTCACAAAATGGTTACTTTACTTTTTTGCTTGGTGGCATAACAATCTAGGTTTCTCCAAGTGACCATTTTGTGATAATTGGAAAATATCCTATAATATTTCTTTAATCTCGTAAGCCTGAAGACTCCTTTTGAATAAATCTATATTTTGAATAAATCTATATCTATATAATCTATATTTCGAGTATGAACTCGAATAAAAATTTACGCAATATTGGGGTACATTATTGTATGTAAAATCCTTGAAAGAATGTTTGAATCAGTATCCCATAGCCTAAGTCGTCTCCTTGTAAAAGTACAAACACAAACCTTTTTTGTAAGAAGAATCAGTAGGTGTCGAAATACATGAACTAAGTCGAGGAATAAGTCAAGAGCATGAGCGATAAAATCTTTGTTACCCATGCGATTTTTCTCAATAATGTGTTGAGTATCATAAATAATATATCCACACATTAGCATCAGACCAATGTATAAATTAAGTTGATAAATCAAATTTGATCTAAAGAAAAGATTTGCTAATGAAAAGAACATTAGTAAGTTCATAGCACTGATTAATATTCCTCCTAAATAGAGCCATTGGCCTCGTTCGGACAAAAGTGATGATATACTGAAGGAAACAAAAAGTACTGAAGTACCTGAAAAACCATTTAATTTCATCAGAATATACATTCATTTACATAGTATATTTTATTTTTACTACAAAATAAAAGTGTGTATTGAAAAAGTTGACCAATTTAGAGTTATATAATTAAAATAACTATTTTAATTAAACCTGTTAATGTTACATCAATTGTTCACCTATGACTTTATTAAAGAAATTGATTTTTAAAAGAAGCATAACTTTTAGGTGTGTAAGTTTTCATTTCAATTTGTTTTAAATTGTAATTAAAATCTTTTTTATGGCATACCCAAATCTGAGAAAAATTTATTTTTCATTCCTATAACAATATATATTATGCAGTAAAATAATTATTCAAAAAATTAAAGTTTTAAGCCTAATGGGTTAGCTATAATGAGAGTTCTGAATATTACCAACTATAAAAATTTTTTTACTTCATTTTATGCAATAACCCATTAAAGCAAAAGTAAACTATTGTATGAAACTTAGTTCTTTGTTTTATTATATGGTTTAAACTAAGCATAAAATCTCAAGTGTGAAAGGAATGTACCGTAAATGATTGGAACTTACTTAGCTTGCAATAATTATACAGTGCTGATTTCTACTTTACTTTAGAATATATACTTTGACATTAAATTACTTCATAGAAATTAATTTTGTACTCTATGTTTACCTGTGTTACTCAATTTACTATATTAGAAAGGAATAAACTTACCAATAAGAGCTGTCATAACAATGCTTGGATCTATAGCAATAACAACACTTAATAATGGACCAAGTCCTATCCCAGTGAAAAATGAAAATCCTAAGAAATATCCTAGGCGTAGGGAGTGATTTTTCCCATTATCAGGTGTAAGGACTAAGGCAATAAGAAGTCCAAAAGCCAAACATGTTGTCAAAAAACTGGCTTGAAAGATTGCATGTAAATGAACATAAGCTCCAAATGCAGCTGATAAAGTAGACAATGAAAGGCATCCATACACATTTTTTAAATGCTTTCGTACTGGACTTTCCCTGAAATATAATATAATAATATAAATAATGTAAATTTGACATGCATTGATTTTAGGAAGCTTAATTTTGAGATTATTAGAACAATACACATAAAGACATGTATACACACACACACACACACTCTGTGATAACGATAAGACATTTATCCTTATTGATTTTAAAGTAAATAATATGCTTGAACTAAAATTAGATACTCACAATTTATTGGTAAATGAGTTCATAAAAGAATCAATAGTAGGTGCCATATTACTGCAATAATTTTTCTTGACTTAGTTTTCGATTAATCTTTTCAAAACTCTTGAATCAGAATATGAGAAGATATTTGATGGTAAAAACAATTACGTTCAATCCTGAGGAATATTTGAGATATTTTGCACGATAATGAAAAGTTTGTTCTACAAAATACTGATATTAATAAGTAGAAAGGAATGAGGCATCAATACGCAGTTATCATACTATACGATAGTGAAGCGACATATAGTGTCACGTTTACGAAACATAGTACGAGGGTACGTTTTCCACTGCTATGATGCGCTGGCCCACGCTGAAGACGGAAAACCGAGTGATGCTGCTGTTGGGAAATGTGTAGTAGAAATTTTTATGCCAAGCCAATTATTGTTTTTTTTTATTTTTATTTTTATGCAGCTCTCAATAACCTCACTTTAGTAGCCGAATTAATGTCAGATACAGGGTCAAAACATCTTCATTAACTAATTGCAAGTGAAGGGACAGAAGTTTTTCAACGAAACTTTTTCTACAAGAACATATTTGAATATAGAGAATCTTGACCATATCAGATACCTGAAAAAAATTTTCTATTGATTTTTAAAAATTTATTTAATATTACTCGGCTCCCAATAACAGCCTGTGTTGATGCCCGATCTCCTTCCGCCATCTTGGCATGAAAATTTCTATCCGCATTTCCCAATAAGATACTAAAATATGAAGTAATTTATTATCGTACTATCAACTGCCATGTTGAATTATAACGCAGTGCATGTGTTGAGTTCTCGTGTATCAAGGCTTATTAATTTTCCGCTTCTATAAAGATATTATGTATAACAAAGTGATCGATTCAAACTTAATTGATTCTTTGATTCAGGAAGAACAAATTGAACTCATATAAAAAAACGATCCTTGAGTCAATAACTCGACGGTCTGGTAATGATTACTATAGAAAATCATTTATTACGAAAATTATTTTCTAATGACGTCAATAACGATTTTGCTGAAAAAAGAGCAAAAAAATATTTTAATATTTTAATATTTTAATGGTTCTAGTTAATTGTAACAATAACTGTTTTCAGATGATGAAATATGATTGATAAAAAATAGAATTTTCGTTGAAAATTATTTCGCTCTCTTAACGCGGCCCCCAAGTAATGATCAGCAGGGTTGTAAATAATTAATAAGATAAATTAATTACATACTCGTTTAATTAACAATTACATTTCAATTGTTAATTGTGAACCGATACAATTAACAATTGAAATGTAATTGATAATTGTGAATAAATCCAATTAACAATTACAATTACAATTACAACAATTACAATTACAATAAAGTGTAATTTTGATTAACAATTAAAATGTAATTATTAATTGTGGATTGATTCAATGAACAATTATTATCAACTAGAAATTGTCAGATCTATATTGGTGGAAATCCACGTGAGCATCTGCATGAAATTTATGGAAAAATATCGATATGCATTTCAGTACATACGAATATATTGATTTATTTTACATTTAATATGGTTGCAATATTTCCTCGAGCCAAGATAATTGTACTTTTATTTTTAACACGGTGGAGATATACAATTCTCAAGCCAAGATATTGTTCATTTTGCATTGAATTTCATAGTTACCATTCATACTCGATCAAAGATCATCAGAAAAACCCAGTTTTAAACATTGAAAATTCTCCGAAGCTAAAGAAACGCCATCAGAATCCGTAAGAAGTTCGCTATGAGGTAAAACGTAATATTTTTGAGCTCAAGTTGGAGGTTTTCTTAATATTTTTTTAGGGGTGTGCGAGCTCTCGATTTTTTGAGTATTACTCGACTCAAACTCGGCTCGTCGAGCTCGAGTCGAGTTCGAATTGAGTCTGGAATACTCGAGTACTCGAGTTTTTGACTACTAAAAGATGCGATGATAAAACCATTATCACCCCTTGTGCATGGTCATAATTGCATTCGCAGCGGTATACAAGGTTTTGCATCGAACTTATGATCCGTTGTTGTTTTATTTGATTTTTAATTTAATTTTTCAATATTACTGATTTTCCCTTGAAACGTCGCTGTATAAAAGTATCTGTGTAATGGAACGGGACTATTTATACGACATATGTTACGACTTATGTATATAATAGATACGAATGTGCTTATATGACCACACAATTACAAAATGGATGATAATGCTCACTATATAGTTGCGTAGACCGAAACTCGAAAAACTTGAGTACTCGAAAAAAAATCGAGTTCGAGCCGAGTACTCGAAAAAAAAGTTCGGCTCGATCGAGCCGAGCTTTTTCGAGTACTCGTACACCCCTAATATTTTTAGTAGTTTTTTAGATTTTAGAGATTATTTTAGAGAGAGAGATTAGATTTTAGAGCATAGCTCATCAACGGTGGCAGTATCAGCACATCAAGCGACGAGGAGACGTCTTGCGCAAACAGCTTCTTCCCTCTGATATATTTTGAGCCTAATTAGTTATTTCGCCTTTTATTTAACCCCTCTCCATCCTCACCCCACGTAGCAGTATCAAAACTCTCTGAAAAAGTAACTGGCTATACTGTATCCGATAGGAAATTCCCTTATCTTTTCGATGGTATTATTAGATTTTCTGAAATATGCAATTTTCACTTTAATTGAATTGTGGCTGGATATTGGGAGATGAGTTACCTCGAGATGAGTGTGAATCGCACTCAGCGATAATGTCGAAGCTAGCTCGACGAGGCTCGAGCGCGATTCACGCTCAGTCTCGAGGCTGAATCGTGCTTAGTGCTGGTGATGAAACGAGCTCAGTAAAACTTGTGTTTGATTCGTTTTCAGAATTCGAGCGTGAAACATGGTCCAAAGTTTTTCCGTGTAGCCGGGACGTTTGTTTAACCCGACATATTCTTGTAAACTATCCAAGATAGATTGAAACGATTTTGTTATTATTTCTTCTTTAAAAAACAAAGAGATTGACGTATATAACTTGAAAATCCGTTCATTAGAAAAAAAGTTTTCCTATAATTAATACAAAATTCATTGGGATACCTCCTATTTTTAACTGTTAACATCAGTAATTTGGCTCGTATTATTGCGATTGAGCTCATCGATATCTCGTTGTGAATGTTATAACCTTAACAAAGATGTAGTACAGTTTTTTTTGTCAGTAAAATTGTCTATCTGGCAATTGATAGCCGTTTTTCAACATACTTTCATGACTGGGACGTACTATTCTGTTTGTTTATAAGCCTTTCTCATTGGGATATATTATGGCCGAAATATACGATTATTGTGAAGCGGCCATTGCATACATGAGCTTTTTTGTACACAAAATGTCATGAATATTTAGTTTTTCATTTGCATTTGTGCATCTTGCACAAAGATTTCAAATAAAAAGAGAAGTAAAGAGAATGGAAGAGGAAGGACACTTTTAACATGAAGTTGCAATCGTATGTTTATTGGTATTTTTGCATATTGTATGTGTGAAAATATAGGCAATTGTAAAAAGACAACCGAGTGAATCGTAAATCGGATAGGAAATAAGGTGTACGAGCACGAGTCGAGGAGTACACTCTCACGGCTGCAAATTTGGCTGTGTCGAAAGTGCGCGCGTTTGTCCTTCTTCGTGTACAATAAAAAAGTCGCGACGTCATCTTCTCTGGGACGAATTGAACTGGTATGCAGCGCGATTGCTGCCGCTCGACATCTGCTGCTGATGCTGCTGTTGCTGCTGCTGCTGCTGCTGCTGCTGTTGCTGCTGCTGCTTTCTCTGAGACTCGAGAGCCAGGAGTTTCTGTCGCTTCTCCTCCATCAGGTGCTCCCGGTGCTTGTGAATGTAGTCGTAGACGTTGGGCAGCACAGTGATTATGCTGGCCGACAGCGCCGAGCGTCGCATGTTGATGTCGGTAGCCTCGTACCTAAAAATCGTCATCATCGTCGTGAATCAAAAAAAAAAAAAAAAAAAAAAAAAAAAAAAAAAAGGAAGGAACGGGGGTAAAGAAAGAAAGCCGAAGGAAAGCAAGCTCGAACCACTCGTTGGTCTTCTCGTCGTAGCACTCGACGAAGTAGGTCGTGCAGGCGCCGTTGTAGCCGCCTATGACGAAGATCATGTCGTCGATTATCTCGATGGCGAAGTTGCTGCGCGGATTGTACATGTCGGGTATGCGGCTCCAGCTGTTGCTGGCCGGATTGTAGCGCTCGCCGCAGTACATGCGCGAGATGCCGTTGAAGCCGCCGATCGCGTAGACGTGGCCGTGATAGGCGATGCAGGAGACGCCCGAGCGACGCGAGCGCATCGGCGTGATCATGGTCCACTGGTTGCAGGCCGGGTCGTAGACCTCCGCGGACTTGAGGCACTCGCGGCCGTTGAAGCCCCCGGTCACGTAGATCTTGCCGTTGAGGCTGGTCGCGGAGGCGTCGCTGCGCTGCACGTTCATCGAGGCGATCAGGGACCACTGGTTGCGCCGGTAGTCGTAGCGCTCGGCCGTCTTCTGCCGATAGTTGCCGTCGAAGCCGCCCATCGCGTAGATTATGTCCTCGACCACGGCCACGGACACGTACGCCCTGCGACGACGATTCGGATGCACCCTCGTGTGCGGATAAACTCGATCGAAGCACCTACCTCCTGGCGTTCATGGGAGCGACCTCGCGCCAAGTCTTGGTGACGGCGTTGAAGCAGCGACAGCTGCTGAAGCAGGAGGCGCCGTCGTAGCCACCGATCACGTAGATGTTGTAGCCGAGGACGGCCGCGCCGTGATAGGCCCTCGGACCGTCCGGATCGACCTCCGGCACCTTGACCCAGCGGTCGGCCCTCGTGTCGTACGTCTCGATGATGTTGGTCGCGTCGCTGTCCACCCAGCCGCCGATCGTGAAGAGGATCTCGTGGGGGACTCGGGGCCGGGCGATCTCCGGGGTCGGCACCTCGCCGTCCTTCTGCGTGATCATCTCGAGGTCGTAGAGGAACTTGAGCGTCTCGATGATGATGGGCCGGCATGCCTCGTTGCCGGCCACGTACGGATGGTCCTTGACGTTCTCGAGGAAGAACTGCGTGTCGAGCAGGCCCAGCCTGATGTTGCGCATCAGCTCGACGATGTGGCACTTGCGATTGTCGGCGTCGTGATTGATCCAGCGCAGCACCAGCTCCCAGGCCGTCTCCTCGTTCTTCACGTTGAGCTCGTCCTCGCCGATGAGGACCGTCAGCTCGTCGATGGGCAGCATGACGATGTCGTTGTTGCGCTCCGACACCTGCGCCGATTCGTCCTTTTATTCCCCTTTCGAAAAAAAAAAACACTTTGCTCGCGGACGCGTACCTGAACGAAGTTGCGCAGGATGTAGCGACGCGCCGTCTTCTCCAGATTAGTGCAGAGATACTCGCGGGCGAACAGCATGACCCCGATGCAGTTCTCCGGCGACAGATTGAGCTTGAGGTAGTTGCAGCAGAGCTCGAGCACGCCGAAGATGCCGAGGTAGTCGGCCGTCGTGAGCAGCTGGCAGACGTTGTCCTGCTTGATGTCGAGGTCGCGCAGGTACGCGTACTCCAGCAGCAGCTCCATGATTTTGCTGTTCACGTTGGGGATGAGAAAGTCCGTCTTCTCCTTCGAGTTCAGGCTCGTCGTGAACAGGGTCCTACATTGTGATGTACGCGAAAATCATCGATGCGAATCCGTCTCTCGACGGCAGGTGTTTTGCGCGCAATCGTCGTAATTTGAAAAACAGACCTGAAGTAGGTGCTGCAGGCCGAGAGGATCGCCCTGTGTATCGGAAAGACGCCGCCGTCCTCGAGCCTGAGCACCGCGTCGCAGAGCAGATTGTTCTGCTGCATGTCGTAGAGCGACTGCATCGTCTGGACGCTCATGCAGCGATCGCTGCTGCTCAGCTGGTCGGAGAGGGGCGCGTCGAGATCGATGTTGGGCAGCAGCAGGCCGCACTTGTCGGCGTCCGAGCCGCTGGCCTCGACCAAGCCGGCCGAGGCCGAGGCGAGGATGCTGCTAGTGGTGGGAGCCCCGCTGTTACTCCGTTGTTGAGCAGCCGTCGAGGTGTTGTTATTGTTGTTGTTATCCACGCTGCTGGCGTTGCTGCCGCCGCTGACCTCGTCGATCTCCATGATGACGACGACGGCTCCTCCTCGCTCGGCCGACGAGGCCCGATCTCACCTGCGCCAATCGTTCTCTACTCGGCTCATGTAGCTCGTCGCTCGCGGGATGGCCGGTGGTAATTTTTTCGACGCTGATATGGTGAAACGATCGGTCGCACTGCCGAACACGACGACGGCGGTGCCCTTCCTGCTCGCCGAGGGGAAAAATCTTCATGTTACAATAGTTGCACGTGCCTCGCTTGGACTTATTTATTTACACACGATGACACACGCACAGGTCGATCCTAACCTGATTGACCGGTTGAAATGACGATGACGACGATGACGCTGTCTCTCGCGAAGGTTATAAGAATTTGAATTACACCGCCGAGCTCTTTGCCGAGCTTTTACACGATTGAAATTTTTCGTACGCGTCTATTGGATCGCGGTCGTCATGTGGGCGCTGGAATTTTTCTCTCCGGGTCCGGAATGGGGCGGGACGCGCGTCGGTGTACGTCGAGAATTTTGAGAAAACGCGAATGAAAGCACGCGGATGGGGGGAATCGATGTTCGCGAGTGATTTTGACGTTTGGACAAAATGAGCGTCGCGCCGGTGCTGCCCTATGCAAACATATGTTGTCGCGTCGAATTAAATTTATACACTGGAAAATTGAGCTCGAAAGCTCGATCGTTTCATGCTTTTGTATTTAAAAATAATCATTTTATGACAAAGTAATTTATCATTGCGTTACTTCGTACTGGCTTACTCGATAATATATGTATAAATATATAATATGTACATTTACAAAATAAGCGTGTTTTTAAAAGTACAATTAGAAAATAATCCAAGCTCAATAGTGTATAATTTCTCTCGTGCCCTCGAAGTGGCTGATCTCGTCGAAATGCGAATCGACGGAGGAGTAGTGTCCTCCACTCGTGCTCGACTGATGAGGCACCAGCGCCAGGCTCGTCTCGCCCAGTCGGTGCAGATAGGTCTCCATGGTGTCGCCGAACGACTTGAGCGACTGGTGCTTGCTGCCGCTGGCGCTGCTGCTCTCGCCGTAGCGGTCCAGAGTGCCGTTCCAGGACTTGGGCTTGAAGAGCTCGGGCAGCTGCACGGAGATCTTGGCGACGGATTGCTGCTGTTGCGACTGCGCGGAATCGTCCAACAGCCTCATGGTCCAGGTGACGACGGCGAAGGTCGCCGCGTTGGTCGGGAAGGCCCGGATGATGGTCGAGTTGAGGCCGCGCACCATGCAGATCCAGCCCTCGGCCTGGACGGACTTGCGGAAGCAGTCCAGAGCCCCGGAGTATCTGCCCTCGGTGTCGGCCTGCAGCCGCGACTTCACCACGTCCAGGGGATAGGAGACGATCCAGGACACGGTGCCGGCCGTGCCGCCCGCCAGCAGCATGTGCGGCGTCGATATCCGCCGGTCGGACTTGGTCAGCGCCTCGTACGTGGCGAAGTACACGCCGAAGCTCGGTATCTCGCGGGCCAGGGTGATCCCGAGGCCGCCGAACACGCCGCGAAAGCCCTCGCTGCGGTAGATGTGTCTCAGGCACTGAGCTGGCCCGGCGTGTCTCAGACTATTGACCGAGCCGCCTTGAAGCTGAAGCCGCGTCTTGGCGAGCTCGATCGGACTGCAGACCGGAGCCTGGGCCATGCCCGCGGCGGCGCCGGCCAAAAAGTGGCTCGACAATCCATCGCCGAGCATCGAGCCCATCGGGCCCTCGTTCAGGTACTTGTGTGTCTGGCCGTAGACGCCGAAAATTATGGCGTTGACCACGGCTACACCGGCCATCGGTGATGACATGCCTCGATAAAGTCCGGATACCTGCAAAGATTTGACAATTTTCGGATTACAACGATTTCCTCCCCCGCTTAACTTATCGATCAAAGTTTCGCTACATTTGTTTTTTAATCACACTGGTGCAGTAGTGTTTCCTGTCGACGCGGCGGATATATGAGTATTAAGCGTGTAAAAAATATCGCTCGTAGTCTAAATTTCCGCATTGGATAAAAATACAAATCAACTGGTGCAAAAATACAAGATTGCTCAGTTCTGTAAATAATAATAAAAAATAAAAAGTTCACTCGGCGCAAGCTCGCGCAGCCCGTATATCGAGAGCTACTCGATACTGCAAATTACTTGTTTATAATTAATTTTTTCGATCGTCGGCATAATAATTCCGCTGAAAGGTTATCGCCTCTCTTCTTCCACGAGTAAGTATACCGAGAGTTTGTGTTTCGCTTTTCCGAGCATCGATCACTGTTTATCTCTTTCTCTTCTCTCGCTTCTCTCTCTTTCTCTCTCTCTCTCTCTCTCTTCTCCTATTTCTGCGAATAACTCACCGATTCTCTGGCTACAAGAGTGCGAAAACAATGCCATGTCCCGCGGTACTTGGGGATCCTGTGGTCTTGCGTCTGAATGTGAACCTTGACGGTATCAAGAGGATATCCAACCACAATACCTGCGCAACCTGCATCAAAAATTCGCAACGGGGGATGTTAATCGTTGAGCTTTTTACTGAGCGAGAGGTAATGTGAGACGTACCTCCGAGACAGCCAGCAAAAAAGTCCAGAGCCATCTTGACAGGACAATGTTGACGTAGTCGTAGGTCTTGTGTGAAGCTTGATGATGCTTGCAACAACGTCGAGGCACGAGAACTGCGTTATTGCAGTCCTTAATCACGGAATCCATGAAAATTGACAGCCACTGTCATGTGTGGATTCGACAACTTTTTATCGATCTATTTTCTCCTTTCGGCGTTTGTGTACTTTTTTTCAATTGCCTTTCTCAGCCATGTGAGACAATTGTATACTTATCGTCGCTCGTATGACAGTTTAACTGCCGAACTGTTTTTTTTTTTTTTTTAGAAAAAATCGAGAGCTCGACGTAACTACACCAGCGAGTGAATTTTGAAAAAATCTTTATCGCGTGCCAGGAATGACAATACGTGACATCGAGAAGCGGCGTCACGCGATGCACGAGTAATATTTACTATTATAAATTGATTCGATGCGAAAACTGTAAGTAGCCCGTTGCGCTAAAGATTCGATGGTTTACTGAGACGTCGGCCTGGGCTCGCATAATGTGCAAACGAGCGGAGCAAAGATCATCTCGCGCGGCGCCTTATCTGTGCGCCTCACATTTGATAATGCAGCTATATAGCGTATGTAATTTACATAAATTGCGCGCTCGGAGTTTCGCGCTCTACTCGGCTCAAGTTGTGAATTATTAGCCATGTGCAATGTTATAAGAATTGCTATCGGCGTATTATATGTATATACAGTTGATTTCCTTCGACGTCTTGACCATGTGCTCGTCACGTGGCGGCTTGTTATTTGTTTCCAATGTATATCATGTACCACGCTTCCGTTGCTCTCTTCTCCTCTTCTATTAATTCTTGTGTACCGATTAAAGTTAAGCAACTTAGTTTACCACAACAGAAGGCAACGATCCGATGCAGAGCGATATACTCCGCTCTTTAAATATAGCCTTCGAATTTTTGTTTTGGTCAAAAAATTTGGTTCGCATGATCCACTTCGATAAGCTTTCGAGTCGTTTGTATGATTTCGTCTTTCTAAAAATACGCTTATTGATAGAAAATATTAAACTCTCGTTCGGCGAGAGAGAATTTGCGGATCGCTTTGAATTATGTTATTTCACTTACTGAAGTTTGAACTTTGTCTAGATCGTACTTCCGATTCCGTTCGTTTTTTTCTTTTCACGTATCATCAATCGTTGCGACGATAAGGAGGGAGGCAACTGAAATTGCGATTTGCACCCTGTAAACTTCCAAGAAGATAGTGGCTATACGTAGTCGATCGTGCTCATGCATTGTGTACTAGCTTGCATATCGCAAGCTGTCTTCTATTCTGCGAATTGAATTTTATCTTGCAGAATTATAAGTGTCAAATTTAAACTGCATAATTCAAACATATACATTTTATTATAACTTGAAATATTGGTCTTGGTTGTCAACCACTTCCGGATTTTCATTTATAGATTTTAATTAAACTTGATTTTGAATTTCCTTCAATTTGATTGAAAAAATTGAAAAAATTCTATATACAGTTATATCGTTGAGAACGTTTTTAAAATACGAAAAAATCGGTTTCTCATGCGCCTGAATAGTTGCAAAAATACTCAACACACAATGAAAATACGGGAAAAAATTTTAACATAATGTTGTTTTTTAATCTTCCTATGACTATATCTTCGCGTTTAAGGCCCCAGTCGCAGCTTGGCATGCTGTTGGGCTTGAGGCTAGGCATGCAGAGGGCCTATAGTTTGGTATGGGCTTGGATCTGAAGCTAGCGTATGGTTAGGCTTGAGGCTGGACTTGGACCTGCGGCCAGCATGTCGTTGAACTTGAAATTGAACCATTATTAAACCGCGGTTGCAGCGGCGTTTTCGACTTTATAATATAGGAAAAAATAAAAGTTCATATAATTTTTATATCATCATACATGAGGGTAAAAGCTCAAATTCTCATCAATCGTTTTTGATAATTGACCAAAGTAAATTCTACTCAAAATCAAAGTTTTTATCTCTTTCAATTAAAAAAGTAAAAATAATTGTGAAAATAATTTCACATTATCGGTGTTTTCTCCCCGTGATTGCGTTTGGTGATAAAAAAGGCAGCAAAACCGGTAATGAAGATTCCTATTCCGCATCGAGCATTGCGCGCGTCGATTTAAGCGATAAAGCTCAAAGAGCTCTTATCATATTGATTTTTCCAAGAGCTTACGCGCTCATATCTGCCTTTATATTAGCGTAAAGCAACATTCAAGTTAAATATCAAACTAACTATAAAGCACGAGGAGCACAAGTATGCAATTAATGTGATACGGATTCGAGAAAACGAGCTTTCCCGCAAGCTCTGCATCTCGAGACTCGAAAAATATAGAACTAAGCTAAATTCAAGGTCCCAAAAAGCTTCTGCCGCCTATTGTTGTTACAATCTAGCGCAATAAGTTTCTTTAAAGCTACATAATGAAGCTAGAAAATGAAGCGCGTCCGCGAGAGCTACAATAACTCTGTTGGCAACGAGTGCGCCGCTGCAAGCGCACTCGGGCTTGCAAGCTTCGTATTATATTCGTGTATTCATGCGCTGTCTGCTGCTGCTGCTGCTGCTGCTGCAGCTACTGTTGCTGACTTCCGCTCTGTATAGCTGCAACCCTTGGCACGCACACGTCGCACACGCCTTCGAGTGCACTCGTTATCTACCGAGCTGTATCATATCCGCAGTTCTATGAGTCTCGCAGCTGTACACATTACAAGCCTACGATAACAAGGGGTAAATATTCATACATCAAAGCTCCAAGTCGAGCTTTTTGCTCGTTGCGTGCCCATCTCGGTGTGCGTGTGTGCGTATCTCTGTGTTTACTATTACAATCGAGTTGCGTCATACGAGCAATTTTCATTGCACATCGAGTCGAGTTATACGCGTCTCACGTGCTTCCACCAAGCGTTATACGATCCATCCCAGAGTCACGTGGTGTAATATAATGTACTTTGGCTGCTGCTGCTTCTGCTATGCTCGTTCACTGCTGCTGCTGCTGCTGCTGCTGCTGCCTGGCACTTTAGCGCGCAGTCGCATTTCGCCCGCGCCCATATAGACCGACTCGACGCACACGACTTCTCAAACGTACGTATGCATATATGTAGCTGATAGCCGTAGTCGCAGAGAGCATATGCGCGCGTGTCGAAAAAGCCAGAGTCAGTTCGCGTGTACTTGCACTCGTGAGCGGTACCTTATAAATATATAGTATACGTTGATCGTTCGAGCTTTCGCGTACGAGCTTTACCTCGACGGATAAGCTCGCGAGAGACTCGTATCTCCTCTTGGCAGCAGCCCCCCGCGCGACTGCTGCGCAAGCATGTGTTTCGTTCTCTAGCTTGTATGCGGACACGACGCTCGTTGGCCTTATCTATTTCTATTAAAAATCGATCGTACGTAGAAAACCCGCTCGACTGTGACGGATCAGGTGTGTAGTATAGCTGCACATAGAAGAAAATATTACGTTTTACTGTACTACGTGCGCTGTATGTGTTTTCCAGTGTGTGCAGGTGCATAATTCAATTCGCGGCACAGTAGTTCATTGAGGCATAAATATGGCTTGAAACGATTGTTCATTAAAGGTCACTGACATACAATTTTCCTCGCTTTACGCACTGTTATCGAAGCCCAACGAATTTTTGTTTTCTTTTATTTATAAACGTCAAGTTTGTTTGTACACGGACGGTGCTATAATTACACGTGGATATAGCATCGTAAAAATTTACTTTTTTAAAAATATCGCTTATCCCCGCCTTCGCATTTGGCTATACTCCAGAAATTTGAAAAATTCCATGACAGTATTTTCAGTGATTAATGAACAAATAATAAGGACTCTCTCTCGCACACCTGGCATAATGCCAATAAATTATTATTCAAAAATCATTCGTGATCGATCATCATCGTCATTCCTCCCATCATTTATGACAATCAGTTAAATATTTAAAACTTATCGTTTGCAGTCTCGTTGACGTTTTCAAATTGTGAAACTCTATAAGACAATAACTTCGTTCGGCCTTTCGAAATGAGTGGCCCAAAAGATAGACGCTCGTCTGGGTCCGTATCCGAATCTTCTGCCGCACAGAATCTTATTCAACATGATCAACAGGTTCGTGTGAGCGTGTTTGTGTGTATGTGTGTGACTCGATAAAACTGCTGATCCATTTTTTTTTTCTTTTTTAAAGCCTATTGATGGAGTGAGTTGGCGAAGAGCCAAAATTGAATAACACGATTTTTGTGATAAAAACGCGTACGTCTAATAAAGTTGCACGATGCAGTAATATCTTTTCAAATTTATGCTGCACGTAAAAGTTTTATAACAACTCTATTACTCCCTGAAAGTTTACTTCGCATGATGTATCAATATTGTTACTCTAGGATGACGCAATAACATTGAACACATTTAACGAGCTCGTAGATTTGAAAAATTTTAAATCGGTGCAACTAAACTACTTTAAATATAAAAAATAGCACATCTTTCAAATGCAAATAAATTTAATTGTGTATCAATCATTTTTTCTCAATTTTATCAAATAATTCGTAGGAGAAAGAAAGATCCGATTACCCGCTTTTGGTGCCGAAAGCGCAGCTGAAACATCACATACGCCATAAGCTCTCCGACGCTGTGGACAATAACAAAAGTCAAATGTACGAGGTGCACGCGGCCGACGATACGATGACAAATATCAACACAGAAGACGGCCTTGCTTTCTTGAACATTGTCAATAGCTCGTGCAAGCCTTTACACGATGGTAAGCCTATTTGCTGTATTCGCAATACATTTACTCTTATTACTTCTTTTCACGCGCAATTAGAGAGAAGCAGAGTCAAAATAAAATCGTGCGGTTTTAGTCGGTCAAGTTTTTGGTTGCATTAAACTTTCGTACTTATGTTTGAATAAAAAAGTTGAAAGAATGACTTACTTATTTTCAGTACATTTTTTCTTTGCGCAATATAGTATTTCTTCGTTAAGATACCCAACGTCGAATTCAAATGATACAGCTTTAAGATCACAGGCATATTTCCGCTCGGCTCAAATGTCAACGAAAGGGCTATTATTTCATCTCTGTTTTAAAAACGTTACGTATACACAAATAGTCGATCGGACTAATACTGCACGTTGATATAAAAGTGCCGCGTCGAAATGATGCGAATTACTCGCAACGATTGATTTGTAATATAATTGACCTTGTGCAGTCAAACGGTCGGCAAAAAGATGCTTCGCATACATGCATGCACATCGCGATCATGATCACGACTTGCGGATCGCCCGAAACGACTTATTAATCGTGTCGTCGATCAAAAATAGAATTGTCTGAAACGAAAGGAAAAAATAAAATTTTTTTTCAGAACCAAGCTCGCGAGACCCGATGGTCGAGACGAGCAGCAACAGCGGCAGCAGTAGCGATGCGAATGAACCTGTTTGCACACAACTGCTCACTCAATTAAATACTGCGTACACTCACTTAGCTCCAGATGCACAAGCTCTGGTGAGTTAGCAGTCTGTTGAACTTTTTTCCAAAATTATGGTAGAAATGCTCGACATTTTATGATTAGTTTTTGTCAAATCAAACAGTTTCTTGGTCATAAAATTGAGGAAATGAAATAAGAGTCCGACTTATAGCAATATTTTTACTTTGCCACTTGCAGATTCACAGATGTGAAGGCACTCGCCATCCAGTGACGAAGGCTTTAAGTTGTATCACCGCATACAAAAACTCATCTTAATTTTTTGAAATAGTTTAATTGTAATTTTTAAATCATTTTAAATGTCCTTAATATTTCTATTGTAATTGTACCTGAAAATTGTCAAAAAATAAGCCAATTAATGGCAATGTATTTTGAAACATTTTAAATAGTCATTTTGTGGTCGCGAAGACGTTATTAATGTCAAGCATTTTTACCAGGGGAAATAAATCTCAACTTATTAAACAACTCATTCAAATAAGTACTATGCAAACCATTGATCTCAAATTATTTTTCAGTTTTCTAATCAAGATATTGGAGGTATAGCTCCACTCACTGGAATACAACTAGTTGTTCCAAAACCACCAAAGAATTACGCTTTCACGAGCTGGAATTGGCCTATTATTAGAAAAACGTTCTTTTGGTCCTTAATGTCAATATTTGCCGGAAGTATTGCATTCGCCATTGGAATCATTGCAACTATGCCGAAGAGGTAACCAGTCAATGAATCCCATAATCGTAAGCACATAATTGTAAAAATATATTTCTTCTTACAGCTGCGATCCAGCTGTCGAGTGGTGGCAAGGTAGCTTTTTCTACGAAATCTTTCCTGCTTCCTATCAAGACTCTTACCAAAACGATGGAATTGGTGACTTAAACGGAATTGCCCATAGACTGGATTACTTGGACAGTCTTGGTGTACGCGTCGTTCGCTTAAATCCTATATTTAAATCTCAAAAGTATCCATTGGACTTTATGGAAGCTCAAAGTTTGACTGAAATCGATCCGATTCTCGGATCTTTTCGCGATTTCCAAAACTTGATCGCGGCTGTGCACGATAAAAAGATGTCGCTGGTTCTCGACTTACCACTGCATCCGTACGTGAAAGATTTCGGGGACGAACCGGTGAACTACACTTTCACCGATCGGCTGAAACGAGATATTATGGCTTCTTCCGATTTACCATCCTCGGATGAGACAATGAGATCCTTATTATCTGCTCCAAGCAAACTCGAAACCGTATTAAAGTCTGTACCAGAAGAGAGAAATCTTTTGGAAAATCATCCTGTAACCAAAGCACTCGAATTCTGGAAAGAACAAGGCGTCGATGGTTTCTACCTCAAAGGATTAGAACGATACACTGACGAGATAAATTTCTCAGTATTATTAAGGTACTGGAAGGGCTTACTGGGTCCAAAAAGGATACTCATGTGCAGCCAGAATGCTTTGGATACCGCTCAAGGCCTCGCGAAGAAGAGCATCTTGAATCGAATGGACCTGATCGACGTGACGTTGAGGGTCGCCAATGGAACTCGGAGCATCAAAAATCAAATTTCCAAAGTTTTGAAGGGCCCGCTGTTTCAAAAAGCTGGTAATCCTTGGGTCCACTGGTCGACAGGTAGCGTTGACACGCCCAGATTAGCCTCGGTCTTGAAAATGGCCAATGCCAGTCTAGCCGTTGCCATCATGGGAATGATGTTACCTGGTACTCCCAGTGTTTTCTACGGAGATGAGGTATTTTTGTTACATTATTACTCTGGTTTAAATACCCAACATTAATAATAGCCATTAATTGATTTGTTTTTGGCGATTTTTCTAATACAATCGTGTTAAAAATATTCGGAGCATACAAAATGATTATTTAAGTACTTCAAAAAATTAAAATCAGTTTTCAACCACTTTCCTTACAATAATACCACTTTAAGCCTTCACCACTAGATGGCCAGTACTTTCACATCTGTGAATCTGCAAGTGGTAAAGTAAAAATAATTGCATATAAAATTGGATTTTGGTCGTAATTATATGATCATTCAATTCTATTTTTAACTGACCATAAGCTGTTGAGCATAAGATTAATTTATTTATCGACGTCCAAGTAATACAATAACCAATTTTGATGCACAGGTTGGACTGTTAAATGCCGAAGAAAAAATGGATCAAAATCTGGCACATCTGAGCCATTTGGTACCAATGCGCTGGGACAATCAAAATGAAAACGATCAAGCCTTCACAAAAGCACTCAAAAATCCCTGGATACCTGCCTCTGCCAAACCTGCAGATTCAAATTTGACCGGGCTGTTGTCAAAAATGTCAGAACTACGATCAAAAACCACAACTATCTACGTCAAAGCAATTCTAAAGAATAAAGAAGCTATCGCCAACGGCGACGTGAGGTATGTCGTCGATAAAAGCAAATGAGTGGATTGGCACCAACATAATTGCAATTGTTATCGATCGACAGGTACTCTGCGAACGAGATCATCGTCATCGAGAGGTGGTATCCACGCAGAAACACGTACGTTTTTGTGGCGAATCTCGGAGTCGGTACTCAGACCAAAGATCTATCCACCCTGTATTACGGGGGCCACGTGGTGGTCGGATCGGACAACAAACTCGAACAAAACATATACTTCAGGGAACTGACCATCCCTGCCGGGGAGGCCTTCGTGATCAAGCTCGATAAATGAAATACTCCCACTCGCAGCATGGAGATGTACTTTTGGGAAATGGTACTTATTTGACTCGATTAACCCTGATACCGTTTGTGTTGCATCGTGTAAACGAATTGGATATTTGTAATTCAACCTCCCGTTGATTTTAATAGTTCTATCGATTGATCGAGTACATAAGTGCGAGAGATTTTTACGTATATTTTTTTACCAAGTATTTTCTATTCATATAAAGAGAACGTATAATCTAAAAAATTCCATCGTTTACTTGGATGTAAAAAATAGTTTTTGTATTAGTATTTAAGAATACGAAAATTAGAATTTGTTTCTATGTATGGTAAGAAATTTTTTGAATACCACCGGTAAAGTGATCAAGTGTGGCTAAGATTATCACACACACACTTTGCATTCAATGTACAAAATAAATTCTTCATGATTGTCATTAATATAATTCTAAAGTTTTTCTCTAATGAATGCATGGAGTTTCTAAATTCTTATGTGATTTCTTTCTTGATTTTTTATAACTTTTACGCGCATATTCAACACTATTTTATAATTTACTTTTACATAATTTTCAATTTTGAAATTATTAAAATTTTCTATTGTCGAGCTATTAAAAAATTACAACTATGTACATTGTCATGAAAAGAACGTTTTACAGCCTAACATAGACCGATGACTGAGTTGGCTCACAATGCGAGTTGGCTCAATAATGCAAATTCTTACTTAGTAATTCAATTTCGTATTCTCTTTTACACTTATTTATACAAGTTATACGTATTTCAATGCATTTTAATGCTCTCACAATGTTCTAAAACAAAGTTTAGTCACTTATCTTTAGTATTCAATATTGAATTGTGTATTCAATTTTTTGTATCTTTTTAATAATTATCTACGATGTAAATAGTATCTGTATAATACAATATTTCACTTGGTATTATTCAAGTTCAGTATGAAAAATTGATGAACTTTTCAAGTATTCTTCATAAATTAATCAAGATGACTTGATAATTGTTTTAAAAATTCTAGAACTATCAATTAAAATTTTAAACATATAACAATACCTTAAGTCTTAATAGCGATAGATGTATACGAGTTCAATTCACGGTTTGCTTTTGGGAGTCTAAAAATTGTACATTTGTATGTGCATGTCAAAAAATATAAATATTTCAAATGTTCTTTTTTACTTCATCAAAAAATTTATTAGATGGATCAAAAAGCGATACTGCTGAAAATAATTAATCAAATCGTTCAATTATTCGAATAATTTTTGTAACAATTGTATAAAACATTATTTTTACTAAATAAAAATATATTTTTAAACTTGAAATTCTTGTTTTAATAGTTTCTGCTTTACAATATACTTATATAAAAATTCGTCGATGCTTTATTATTTCGATGAAAAAATAAATCATATACGATAATAAATGCATGTAGGCTTGAAAACACTTTCTATGAGATATCTTACGAGTTATCACTGTTTCTTTCTTTCTTTCGTTCGTGCGCTGATTCTTTCGAGACATTTCTTGCTTGCTTGCGGTTCTATTTGCGTCGGGTCACATTCAAATTTTTCTCAATTTTTTGTCATAATTCTGAAAAATAAAACGAATGCATTGAATGAAAAACGCAAGATCGCGGGACTCGATAAACTAGCTTCTTACTAATTTTGCAATCTTCATGAGAACTTGAGCCGACGCTGCTCCCGACTGTTGAACATTATCGTACAAAAATCCCTTCTTTTTGGTGAGCAGAATGTGAGGATGATCAAATTCCTGAATTTTCAAAGGATATGAAACGAATTAAGTCCATGATAATGTATAGCTCAAAATTACACGCGTGTTACAACCTACCGCTACGGTTCCCTCGTCGATGACCATGATCCTGTCGCTGTCGATGACGGTGTGCAGCCTGTGAGCGATCGTGAGGATCGTGCAGTCCTCGAACTTCTTCTTCACCGTCTTCTGGATGAGCTCGTCCGTGCAGGGATCGACGTTTGCGGTGGCCTCGTCGAGGACGAGTATGCGATTGCGCCGTACGATGGCACGAGCCAGGCAGAGCAGCTGGCGCTGGCCCACGCTGAAATTCGAGCCGCCCTCGGCCACCCAGGCCTCGAGGCCGTCGAGGCTCCACTTCATGCCGACGTCGTCCAGGGCCTGCCACAGTGACGCGTCGCTGCACTCGCCGAATGGGTCCAGATTCTTCCTCAAGCTGCCCTCGAAGAGAATCGGCTCTTGCGGAATGATGCTGATCTGAAGGCGCAAGTTTGGAGATTGAATGTTGATAGCAAGAAAAAAAATGACAAAAGTCTCACCTTGGACCTGAGAGTAAGCAGTTCGAGCTGGCTGGTTGGCACATCGTCTATTAAAATGTCTCCCTCGACGTAGCCCAGCCGGAATAACGAATTAATCAAGGAAGACTTTCCCGCACCGGTCCTTCCGACTATACCGATTTTCTCGCAGCCTTCGATCGTGAAATCCAAGCCCTTTAAAATCGTCGCTCCCCTCTTCTCGTATCTGAGAGTGACATTTTTAAATTCTATCTGCCCTCTACTGGGCCAGTCAGTAGGAACTTTTGTTTGTAATTTGATCTCGGTCAGAGCAGTCGTCTCCTCGGCGCCGATCTCCGACAGAGCAGTAGTAGTTGTAGTACCATTGCGTTTTTTCGCCGAACTATTATAACCATCTAAGCTTTCGGCCTCGCTGGGCAGTTTCGAGTACTCGAGCACCCTCTCGACCGAGGTCATCTGATTCTCGAGCTCGGCGAATTGCCGCACGCCCCACTGGAGAGTGTTGAGCAGCATCATGCACTGGGTGATGGCCAGGCCCACGTCACCCGCGAGGGTACGCGCGTCGAAGGCCAGCAGAGTGAAGAGGACGCAGGTGAGGAAGCAGGAGCAGAACACGTCGAGATACATGCCGAGGCCGCGAGAGCCCGAGAAGAAGATGAACCAGGCGGCCGAGTGCAGGTCCTGATGATCGTCGAACTCGTCCACGAGGACCGACTGGGCGCGCAGCGCTCGGATCGTCGTCAGGCCGCGGATGCTGTCGCTTATGTGGCCGTACACCGGGGATCTGGCTGCGGCAGTATAAAAACATTCATATATGAAAAGCCCGCAAGCAAGCGAGATGAAAAAGATAATTTTAAGGATCGTTACTCAGTCCTTCCAATCGTTTGACGCTCCGACTGGTTTTGATGAAGAACAGAGAGAACGTGTAGAAGCAGCAGAAGCAGAGCGCGGCGGGTACAATGAGGTAGAAATTGACGCTGGTGACAACCACGAACGCCGCCAAGATGTGTATGGCGTTTTGAATGACGTCTATCATGGCTCGCGACACCTCCATGTCGACGATGCTCATGTCTTTGGAAAATCTGCAACGATAACAAGACAACGTTTTACTAGATAGTCAAATTTTCACTGTTAGAAATAAACGAATTTATGAAAATAATGAATTTTATTTGCGATTATTTTGCATGAAATTTTCGTTGAAAATTACTGTACAAATACCGATTTATTTTCTTACTTAACAGCTCAAATTAAAAATGATTTTTAATGAAATAAAAACTAAAAAGATTTAATTCTACATTTAAATTTAAACACTGCTATAGAAAATTAATATTAATACCATAAAAAAAATCATGAAAATTCATTATTATTATTAAAACCAGCCTCCACCGCTAGATGGCGAGTATCTGTATTCATAAATCTGCAAGTGGTAAATTCAAAATAATTGTATATATATCAAAGCACGGGATCAAATTTAATGTTATTTTCTTACGTCCATGCGCTTTACATATTATAACGATGAAAGAGAGAAAGCAAAGGCTTTATACCTGTTCATGATGCGACCCAAGGGATTGGCACTGAAAAACTCGATGGTCGTGGAAATGACGCTCGAGAACATGTTGGCGTGCAAGTTATTGGCTATCCGCATGCTCATCTCGAAGAACGTCCAGGACTGCAGGAGGCAGAGAACGATAGTGGCGCAGGTTATGCCCCCGTAAACGCCGATGTACCAATCTCGGTCGATGCCGCCACTGGCATTATTGTTGTTGTTATAGTCGGTCAGTGAGCCGTTGCTGCTCGCGTACTCCTCCTCCTTGTTGACCCAAATGGCGAGGAAGTAGTCGCCTCCGCTGGCGGCGAGCTGATGCGCCAGACTGGCCACGAACACCATGACGACCAGGGGTATGTTTCTACTGGACATGAAGTACGCGAGATAAGTGGTGGCTGAAATGCTCCCCTCGACCTTTTTCTCCTCGGTCTGCTGCTGTTGCCGATGTTGTTTCTCGGCTACTTTTCCGTTAGCAGTGACCACCGTCTCCTTCTCCGGCTCGATCGTCGTCGATTTTGTCCGAGCTGGTTTGCTCGAGCTCTCCTTGCTTTCGTCAAAGTCGCCGCTGTTGCTGCTCTGCATCATTTGAATGAGATTGATGCCTTTGTCTTGCAACTCCGCCAATGTCCCAACGGCTTTGATCGAGCCACTGTCGAGTACGACTATTTGGTCGACTTTCTCCAGATGCTGAAACTGATGAGTGACCAGGACGACCGTCTTGAACTTCAGCAGCTCCCTGATGCACTGGTAGAAGATGTCGCGACCGACCACGGCGTCGACGGCCGACAGAGGATCGTCCAGCAGGTAAATGTCGGCGTCTCGATAAACAGCCCTGGCCAGGCTCACTCGGGCGCACTGTCCCCCGCTCAGATTGATTCCCTTCTCGCCGAGCAGAGTCTCGTCGCCGTGCGGCAGTCCTTCCAGATCCTTGCGCAGCTGACAGGCGCCCAGTACCCGATCGTAACGAGCCTGCTCGTACGGGCGACCGAACAGGATGTTCTGGCGCACGCTCGAGGCAAAGATCCAGGGCTCCTGGGGTCCGTAGGAGCAGCTCCCCAGGACGCGCACCTCTCCTAGGTTCGAGCCGGCATTGCTGGCCAGCTGCGGAATTTCTCGGAGGATCGCGTGCAGCAGGCTGCTCTTGCCCGAGCCGACCTGGCCGACTATGGCGATCAAGGAGCCGCGCTCGATCTCGAGATCGATGCCCGACAGGACTTTGTGCTTCTCGCTCCAGTTGGCGGAGTAATTTTTAAAAACGATGATACTACTGTTATTGGCTTCGTTGGTGTCGTCGTTGATGCCGGTGCCCAAGTTTTGCAGGGCTGGCTGGGGAGGAAGCTCCTCGATCAGCATGAACTTCTGCAAGCGTTTCAGCGAAACCATAGCCTCCGCTACGTCGTGCAAGCCTACTCGGGGAAATAAATTTAAAATAATGCACATACGTCGAGGGGTAACGGAAAAGTTCATTTAAACTCACACATGGGGAAGAGGGTGTACATGCTCATACGTAGCACATCGTAGAAAGCCGCGACGAAGTAGACCTTCTCGGCGTTGGCGCTATTGTCCAGCAAGACGTAAGCCAGTATGGTGATGAAAACGCAGAGCCGAGGGATGTAGAATTCCGAGGCCAGGCTCATGTCCGTCACGATGGACTCCTGTTTCACGACGTGCATCTCCTTTCTAAAGGGCAACAACGACAACAACAACAAAAATGCATTGCGAGGATTGCGCGCGACCTTCAATACGCTATATACCGATCAAGCAATTTTGCCATACAGTAAGCGTTGATAAGACAGTACGAGCTCAAAAAAATCGCGCTTTATCGTCTGGCATTATATTAGTATCGGTTAGTGATTCAACGAGTAGCAGAGCATTTATTCGAATTTATGAGATAAAGCGGGAGAGAGAGAGAGAGAGAGAGAGAGATTATCATAAATGGTCGGAAAATGCGCTCCGTATAGTTGGAAAAATGTTATTGACGGGCGACCCTGAATCGCTAATAATAGTTCGTTTAAAGCAAACAGGCAGTGGCAGTGGCAGCAGCAAGAGCAGCAGCTCGAGCTGGAGTACACGCATGGCAGGCAGTGCACAGCCGCTCATACATTAGAGTCACGCTTATGTTGTAAGCGTCTGCGACTACGATGTATTAGGCTACTATAGGCACACGCGTGTACCTCGACTTGTATTATTTTGTAAGCTCTAAAAAAAAAAAAAGAAAACAAGACGATGGCTCACTTTCTGATGCGATCGACGAGCAGCGAGAAGGGCTTCTCCCAGGCGTACATCTTGATGGCGCGTATGCCCTTGATTATCTCGTTGGTGAGGCGCAGCCGCTCGTCGGTCCTCGTCGTGTATTTGCTAGTCAGGCGATTCGTTATTCTTCCGAAAAATCCTAAAGTTCTTGCGTCATTTTTCAAGCGATCAAGGGATAATTTGCGATCGAGATGTTGCGTTCGAATCTTTATACGTACAATGACGCACCTTCGATAGGTGCAATTTTTATAATATATAATACATTTTAAAAGTTTGTTTTTACGCTCGAGTTGCGATTGTATAATTTACTTGAGTTGAAAAAAAAAACCAAACGGATGAAGGAACAATAGGCTCGGCTGCTTACCGGTTACATAAAACTCGAACGATTAGCGTGTTCATCGCTCGTTAATCTCTGCTCACGAGCAGCTCGTCAAAATCGCTGTTGCTGCGATTAATTGCCGCGCGATCAAATGATAGCTGCCAACTCTATAAAGTAACGGAGGCGCGACGCGAGCCTCGCTATCAATTCGCTCGCGCGCGAGTGCTTTAATGGCGCGATGATGCGGCGAGAATCGTGTGCCGTATAGTACTCATAGTCGACTACTCACCGAGCAGCGGAATGAAGAGCACTTGGAGGGCTATGCCGGTGCAGGCGGCCAAATGCACCTCCCGATACAGAAAGTAAAAGACCACGAGGGCCTGCAGGGGCGATATCCAGATGTAGTGTAGGTAGTAGACGGCGTTGTCGATGCGGCTGGCGTCGTTCGACAGCAGATTGAGCACCTGGCCGAGATTCGTCCCGGCGCCGTTGTCCCGATCGTTGGCGGCGAAGCTCAGCGGTACCCGGAGGATCTTGCGATAGACGAGCGAGCAGCAGGCCACGCGTATCTTCATGCCCATGTGCATGAGGCTCTGGACGCACAAATGGGCCACGCAGCAGTCCACGAAGACGCCCAGGGCCAGCGCCCCGGCCCAGGCGTAAGCCTCGCTCTTGGCCATGCCTTGGCTGTCGCTTCCTTCGCTCCGCTGCTGCTGCTGCTGCTGCAGCTGCTTCTCGCTCAAGTAGTTGAGCAATTGCAATAAAATGTACGGCCTAGATAACCTGCGCGCACGAGAGAGCAAGAAGAGAGTTAAAGATCGGCGCGTGCTGGCCTCGATTCCGCACGTGCTGCTGTTGCTGCTCGTCTCTCGCATTGAGCGCGCGGCACGTGCGACGCGTCGTGCGCATCTATTTATCTCCGCATATACATGTAAGTAATTTGATCGGCCTACCTGATGCTGAACTCGAGAAAGGCCTGGACGAGGCCGACCAGAACGATCTCTCGGCCGAAGCAGCTGAATATGCATCGGAGCAGGCTCGCCTCGCTCGGGTCCCGCTGCTGGCGCCTGGACCACTCGGCGCTGAGCCGCTCGCCGACGTTGTGGCTCGAGTGCTCGTCCAGCGGGTAGTACAGATCGGATAGCTTCAATTCCCGCCGAAAGCCACGGATGAACGTCTTGAATAGCCATCTGTGCGCAAAAATTAAACTTATGAGCTTTTTTTTTAGCAGGGGCTCGATCGTCAATTACGATTCGAGACTCGAGCGCATACGTACGGCTGCGCTTTTGTATCGTGCGCGCGCCTCGAGCTATACTAATACCGTCACAGGCCGTGAGCCTTGAACCATGGTTTAATATTTTTTAACGACGTCAAAAGCCCCTTGTGTGCAATGTGTTTGATTCGACGCTCGTACGAGGCTCGAGACGCGCCGACGATACACATATATATTATATATATATAGAATCTCGCGCGAATATCTCCGAGCGTCTACTAAGTATTATTGAAGGATGAATTCGATTCCGAGCTTTATCTCGAGCACGAGCTCACGCCTTTTATATTATCGCGCGTGTATTATAATATGCATCGAGAAGAAAAAAGATCTGCCGACAGAGCGGATTCGTGATGACTGTATCTTGCATAGTCGTGATAGTTTTCAGTTCGGTTTTCAATAATAATATGCTATGATCGTTGTAAGAAAAGCACGTTTCGAAGAAGCGTCGATGCACGTGTGCATCGCGAAACAATCGCCTTGACAAAAGTGTGCAAAACAGCTGCGAGCGACTCGTCGACGGGCTATTGAATCGTCGCAGCGCACCTGCAGCAGCTCATAAACGCAACAAAAATGTTTTCCAAAGCAATAACGATACAACGAACGATCGAGCGTTCGCGTGCACTGCATTCGGCGTTGCTGCGTCGAGAAAATTACCACGCACGCATATGCATATAATTGCAACAGATAGCGCGGCCAATAATGCGCGCGTGCAAAAAAGCGCGCCCACGTGTGCGCTGCTGCGAAATGCTGTTGCTACCGCATCGGGCACTCGCACGCGCGCAGCTGCACAACAGGTTTGACCGCTAAAAAGCCCCCGATTACGACTGCTGCATGCGAGTGTGCATTATGGTAAACGACTGTCCGAATTTGTTCGTACGCGCTCACGCCGATAAGAAAGTATGTGCATAAATATATAATAGGCTCGCGATCTTCGTACGACATTGGCGTAACGACGGAATCGTATACAGTCGAGTTGTTAGACTTACGCAAAAGTGAGGACGGACAGTCGACCGGCCGATTGTCGGGGATTCTCGACTCTACTCTTCCGGGCCTGGTACATGACGTCGCTGCTGCTGCTGCTGCCGTCTTTGGAGTTGGCTTCGGCGGCGATTGCCAATTGGCGCGGAATACAAGCACATTTACACGCGCGTCCGGCTGCTAGCAACACCTATATAGATATAGCTTATTATATATCCGCGTATAGTTGGCCGCGTTCTACCGAACTGATCGAGCTGGCGCGCAGCGAAGGAAATTGTATGCACCGCACCGCGACTGGACACGACGACGATTCCCAGCTCGTGCGCGATTGAACCGACACGACGACGACGATCGTTGCCGGGGGGAATCGGCACATAAGCTATATAAGCTGCGGCGCGCTCGGCACTGACTGCAGCGGCAACGACGACGATGGCAACTCTGCGCGATCGTACGCGCGGCCAATGATAGTTGCCCACTCTCTCTCTATGCGTAGGTTTTTGCAAGCGCATATACGTACCCACACGTATACTCGCACTACTTATATGTATATATTCGCGTTCACCACGAGTCAATTCTCTCTCCCTCTCCAGTGCTTGTGTACGTTCTGACTGCGCGCTCCATACGATGCAGCGCACAAAGTGCATACGGCGAGATCGAGCGCAGCAGTGTGTAGAGCGCAGAGCCGCGTGTATACACATTACTATATATCCATACGTTCATCACTCCGGACTGCTGCAGATATCTGAGCTGCCGACGGGATTTTCACGCTGCCGACCGGCTTCGCGAAGGAATTTACGTCGTATAGCCACGCACCGAGCGTGTGTAATACGCGCGCCTGGTACTACTGTGAACGAGCTGTACGCGCTGCTGCGACGTCTTTTATTTCTTTTTTTCATTTTACAAAATCAATACCGCGTCGATGCGCGGCTTGTATTTATACGCGCCGTGTCGAAGCTAGCTTATACCGAGATAATTATGTTTATGCCCGCGCGCGGGAGCATAAAACGTAAATGATCGCGGTTATTTTTCGTTTATAATAATCATCGATTCGAGCGGCCGAGATTAGCCGCGCGGGTCGTTCGATGAATTAATGATCGAGCTTTGCGGTCTCTGCGGTCGCTCGCAGCGAAGCTCTCGGAACGCGCTTCACCCGCGAAAGACTATATCGCGAAAACGTCGATTGAGACATTATTGCGTCGCTTCGGGCCGATCGCTTCGCTGCGAGCTTTTATTTATAAACAACATCGCGTACGATATAGCGAGCTTGCAATAATGAACGTCGACTCGGAACGAGTGAGTATATAATCGCCGATGCTTACCAAGCCAGTTACTTTTTTTTAATGCGGACAAGGAAATCCGTATGCAAGATATCTGTAATGCAAATTTTCGAAAAAATGTTAAGGACTAGATCGAAAAAAGGGGGTTTTACACCAGAAAACTCTGTAACAATGCAGTTTGAAAAAAAGACTTTTTTCTTTAGGAAAAAAAGAATTTCTATCGTCGCAATTCGCGGTAGGAAATTTTTTTTAAACTCTTCGGCAACTTATGCTTAATCCCTATTAGATTAATTTATGTGGCAAATAGTGTAAACAGTATTACTGAAATTCATCGCCCAAAAACTAGCATTTTAAAATTGACATAAACTTAAGAGGCTCAACATTTTAAACTTGAACATTCTTTTTTTACTGTACTGCAAGATTAGAGAACTTAAGGACATTATCATACATGAAAAATATTCAATTAGTATTCTGATAATGTTTATTAAATTTTACATTACTACGTTCATTAAGTTTATTAAATTATAGGGTGTGAGTAAAGTGCCGCATGAATGTGACGTTTAACGCTGTACTTTATTTTCAATTTTTTTACGTAAACATACATGTGCGACACCATTGTGAACATTAACGATGTGTTTTTCGAGATTGTTTTTTTGTGTATATGTCTTTCCGCATACATTACATGCATGTCTAAAACCATTATTCAGCGTTTTGATATGGATTTTGAGACTAACTTTTTGAGTAAATGACTTGCCGCAAATATCACATGCATGTTTGACGCCCTTGTGAACCGAATTAACATGAGTTTTAAGATGACTCTTTTGTGTGAATGTCTTTCCGCATATATCGCATGCATAAACGATTTTATTATGTACCGAATCAATGTGAATTTTGAGATTACTCTTAGTTGAACATTTCTTTCCGCAAATATCACATGCTAAAGTGATTTTATGATGCACCGATTCGATGTGACGTTTCATATAGCTTTTATGTGAGAATTTCTTTCCGCATATATCACATGCATGAGTAATTTTATGATGAACCGAATTGATATGGGTTTTGAGATTACCCTTCAACGAGAATTTTTTTCCACAAAGATCACAAATTAACTTAACACCATTATGCGCCGAATCTATGTGAATTTTGAGATTACACTTTATTGTGAATGTCTTTTCGCATATATCACATGCGTGGGTCTTATCATTATGCGTTGCATCGATGTGTGTTTTGAGATTAGGTTTGTTGTTCAACTTTTTTGTCATTCTTCTTGTTTTATTTTGTTCGACTTGTTCACAGTCGAGATTGAAATTCGATTCTTCTGCGTCACCAAAAAATTCTTGTTCCACTACCCCTGCGCTTTCTGTTTTAATTATATCTTAAATTTCATAACCATCATTATCTTTTGCAATCCCCAAATAATCATCGTCAATTTTTCCGATAGCCATTAAATTAATGTCGAGCTTGACGTCTTTACATTCAAAAACTATTTTCATTCCGTCATTAAGTACACTTTTATGATTTACGCCAGATTTTCCGATGTTATTATGGGTCTGTTGGAAAATTGAAGTTATGTGAGAATTTATTTAAAAAACAATTAAAACACGAGTTACATATAATTATCAATATGTTACTTACAGAATTTTCTCGTGAAACTGGTAGGACTAGGACGTTTTTAATGTCGGGTTTCTCATCAATCATTTCAGAATTATTTTGCATAAACGACACATCAATAGGCTCCTCTTTCACTCTGAAATAAGCCCAATAAATTTAAGAATTTTGTCAAATATGTCGATAATATAATTAACATACGAGCGACCCGAAACGAGCATTTCCCAGCCGCTGCAGCGCTAAACGGAATATTGCTATTTTCGGGCCACGGGGTATGTAAAATCGCATACTGGCCTATACCGGAAAAAAAAGAAAGTCCTGGTGCACGTGCTAATCTAATGTTTATTTCACGCGCCCTGGGACTTTTCTGTTTTTCCCGGTCTATTTCATAAAATGAAAATTACCCGACAGCACAATCGAGCGAATCACTGGATCCATCTGGGAATCTCGTAAAAACGTAATATAATGTTTCGGTGTCGATCGAGCGAACTATACTAAAAACTGGCGAAGAGCACTGAGAGCTGTAGACTTTGCTCTGTTGTTTACATCGCGGGCATGACCTGTGTGTTTTGGGGTTCATGCCACATTCGCTCCACAGAGGGCTGGGTGGAGCTGATCGCACATTCTTTCCACATAGCGAACACAGAGCTCCAATGTTCATTCAATGTATAGCTTCAAAATTAATTCAATTATATTTACAAATTATTAAATAAAATTCATTCTATTACGTATCTCATCTCGTGTCCAATGAACTATTAAAATTTTTTCATCAATGTTACATTTTTATGGAAAGACGCAAATATAGAAGACGCTCATACATTTACTCTCTCGCGGATTGTATTTATATCAATCAGCGGAAAAAGCAGGAGAAGCTGCGCTACTGCAGCCGAGTCTTCGAGTGGAACGAGCTGCTCCTGAGCGTGATCGGCCTCTACCCGGGCAAATTCAGTTTCGCCCGTTTCTACCTGAATCTCGCCTACTTCACGACGGCGATGGGCCTCGAGTACCTCGACCTCGTGCTGTCGCTCGGCGACTTCGAGCGCGTCGTCCTGAATCTGACGGAGAACGCCGCGTTCACGCACATCTACGCTTACACGCTGTCGCTGTGGCTCGGCAACCGCGAGATAGGCCAGCTGCTGGGCCAGGTCGCGAGCGACTTCGCCGCGGATTACACGGACCAGGAGATCGCGACGCTGCGCCGCTACTACTTCAGGACTCGAGTGTTCATCGAGTTTCTCTTCGTCAATCTCTTCACCACGGCCTCGTCGTACTTCATGCAGCCGTTCACCGGCCAAATGGATCAAAGTGAGATTTATCAAGTTCCGCGTTGAATCCTGATGATTTAATCCCGATTCTCACGCAGTTCTGGGATACATGCGCGGATCATCGGCGAACTCGAGCATCGTGTACCAGCTGCCGTACCGCTTCCACGCGTTTCACCGGGTCGACGAGCCGGCGAGCTACCTGTGGACCAGTGCCGCCTACGCACCCTTCGTCCTCGTGACTTTTTTCAATCAGAGCAGCGGCGAGTGCTGCCTCATCGCTCTTGTTTATCACGTCGCGGCGCAGATGGCCGTGCTCGCCTCGCGAATTCGCGGCATCGAGCCAGGTAACGACTGCACCGAGCAACTGGCCAACTGCTTGAGACGACACGCGCGTCTGCTCAGGTACCATTGAAAACAATTATTCAGTCATGAGAACCGTGCTCTGACTTATATAAAATTATTTTGACTTTGCCACTTGCTGATTTAAAGTAATAGGTGCTCGCCATCTAGTGGTGAATGCGGGTTTTAATTATAAATCAAGTATCACGAAGTTTTTGAGTAATTTCAATCAAAATGATTAATTTTGAGAATTAAATCATTTTGGTTAATTTTTGCTTTAAAAATAGTAAAGGTGATTGAGTTTTCATTCAGTTTTTGTTCACTTTATGTAAAGATCGGGTCTTTTATAGAATGGGCCAGCAGATAAACAAGGTGTTCAGCGCGATGCTGCTCGTCCACTTGACCGGCATCATACTACTCGTCTGCCTGGTTGGCTACCAGCTGCTTTGGGTTCGTTTCTTATTATACTTGCGTAAAAAATTGCTTATCTTACAACGATTAATCCTGGCATATTGTATAACTGCACGAAAAGTGTTTAGCGAACGGAGAGTACGCCCTGCTGCCGTCCTTCATCGTCTGGATGTGCCTGTTGCTGGTGTCGCTCTACGTTCACTGCACCGTCGGCGAGACCCTCATAACCGAAGTGGGTCTAGGCGTTTATAATCTCTCGATTATACCGAGGAAGAAAATATTTTTTTCTTTTTTTTGTTGTTGCAGAGCGACAGACTGCACGGGGCCTACTACGACTGTCGCTGGAACGAGATGCCACCGAGCACGGCCAGGTGGCTCGTCCTGGCGATGGCTCGCTCGTCCAGGACTTTGACCTTGAACGCTGGCAGTTTCAGTACTCTCAGTCTCGCCACTTATACGAGCGTGAGCTTTTGTTATTATACGCGTAGTGATCGGATTCGTACTTACTCTCGATGCATATTTCCATTTCAGAGCCTCAAAGCATCCCTGGGATATCTGTCGGTATTCAGAACCGTGATGCAGAGTGAATCTTAACGATCTACAAATTTGACATTATTTCATTTTTTTCTGTAACTTTGTTTTACCGCGAAGTTCGAAAACCCAATTTGTGTAATTCGCACGAAGAAACAAGTAGTATTATTAAAATATCTTGAATAAATTATTGACAAAACATGCAAACATGGAATTACCGAACAAAATTATTTCCTTCTGTAGAGTTTTCTGCGCGTCACTTTTGCAGTTATTTCGGTGTACTCGGTAGTTTTTTTATGTACCGATCAACAAAATTACGTCTCGATTCAAAGATGTACCTATAGCAATTAGTCAACGGGCGCGCTGCAATTAGCTTAGTTATGTATAATTTGTCTCAGCTCGCTCGATCCGGACGCTCTACAGAAACAATAATAACAATGATTACTCGGCGAAAATACATGGTCAAAGTAAGGCGTAGGTGGATCACAGGGCAATTAATCAATGGCCTCGCGGTGTCTTCGACGAGGGAGCAAAAAATAAATATTGACTCGTCGATGCGGCTAATGGCCTGTGTGTAAGCGTTTTGTCAATTTACAGAAATAACAGGCCGCGATCATGGAGACTTTGAACGTAAAGGTAAGCTTTGTATTCTCAACAAATACACACGCTGTACTTTGATATACATTTTCTAATGTTCTTTTTCTTTTAGGAGAATCAAAAAAAGCTCGATAAGATAGCTCGAGTATTTCAATGGAATCGGCGCCTCATGTCGTTCCTCGGCCTCTGGCCCGACAGTCCCAACCTCCTCCTCTTCGTCCTGACCTTCGGCTATTACTCGTACGACATGTTCCTCGAGTACATGGACCTGCTCGTCTACATCGACCGACCGCAAAACGTCATGCTGAATCTCATGGAGAACATGGCGTTCACGGAGATATTCGTGCGGATACTCATGCTGCGCGTCTGGAATCGTCAGTTCGGCGAGCTGCTGGCCGCGGCCGAGAAGGACTTCGAGGCCAAGAGCTACGACACGGACGAGGAGGTGGCCAAGTTCGTGCCCTTCTACGCCAAAGCCAAATCGTTCATGAAGCTGCTGATAAGCAACACGGCCTTCACCGCCACGTCTTTCTACGTCAAGCCGCTTTTGGGACAGTTGGGCCCGGGTAAGTTTTCTCTTATTTGCCAACTGATATGCGCGTACTCAACTTTTTGCTCAAGTTATGGATTACTTCGGGGCGAACGGCGAGCCGAACTCGACGCTGATATTTCTGCTGCCCTATCGCTTCTACGTCCTGTACGAGCTCGACGACGCGCCCACGTACTTCTGGACCTACGGCTCGTATCTGCCCTTCGTCTTCATCAGCGGCTTCGGCCAGAGCGCGGCCGACTGCCTCATGGTCACCCTGGTCTATCATCTGTCCGGACAGCTGGCCGTGCTGTCGATGAGGATCGAAAAGATCGACGGCGACGCCAAGGAACTGCGTCGTCACGTGGCTCGTCACGCCAAATTACTCAGGTGAGTCTTCGCATGCGTTTTTTATTGTCATGCTTATTTTTACGGACTTAAACTTTTTAGGATGGGTAAAATCATAGAAGAGGCCTTCAGTGCTATCGAGTTCGGTCATTTGATCGGAGCCACGTCGCTCGTCTGTCTTCTGGGATATCAAATTTTAGTGGTATTTTAGTGGTATTATTATAATATGATTGCCCGTGGTAGAAATTTTCAACATTTTATGGCTACTGCATAAGGCAAACAAATAAGTTTCCTGGAAATAAAAAGAATTAAAAGGTCTGGACGGGCATCGACGGAAATGTTTTTTTTAACAATGCAACGGCCAGAGTATAAAACCGCTGTACATGAGTCATTTCACGTCAAGTCTACAGCGGTGCGCGCGAGCGGCCTTATTAAGCCAAACTGCTCAATTTGTAATTCGTCAGAAAAGCATCTAAATGCACCAACAAAAAATATGAGCTACATGATTTTTCTAACTAGTCTCAATCGAAAGCTGAGGAAATTTCCTATCAATATGCAAGTTTTCAAAGAGTGGTATTGATTATTACTTACAAGGAGAGCTTTTCAGGACTGGGTCATGGATTTGCTCCGAAATTTTTTTTCGGTCTCCTGGTACCCGATACTGAAGTTCCCTGTGCTTAGTTTGATCTCATGAGCCTTAGGGCCCATTTTGTAGAAGATTTTCCACATTATAAAAAAATTTTTGTTATTTTCTATATACTTAAGCGAAAAAATGCAACGATCAAAAGTTTTAAAATTTTTCAAAGAATATGCTTGAATTTTTTCAGAATTTTTGGGACCACCTACCACTCTCTTTAAGGAGTCCTAAAATCTATGAAAAAGGCGTCAAATTTGGGCCTCTTGAATTAAGTGATAGATGGTCCCAAAAATTCTGGAAAAATTCAAGCAGATTCTTTGAAAAATTTTAAAACATTTAATCGTTGCATTTTTTCGTTTAAGTAGTTCTATATCGATATGGAAAATTACAAAGATTTTTTTATAATGTGGAAAATCCTCTACAAAATGGGCCCCAAGGCCCATGAGATCAAACTTAGCACAGGGAGCTTCAGTATTGAGTACCAGAAGATCCCCAAAAAAGTTTGATAAAGATCTTTGACCCGGACCTGAAAAGGTCTCCTTGTTAGTGAAATACCGCGACAAACGTGTAAAAACGTGAGATTTGGCTGCTGCCGCGAGGGCCGAAAAGTCGCGTTTTTACACGTTCGTCGCTGTGTTTCACTAAATAATAATCAATTCCACTCTTTGAAAACTTGCATATTTATAGAAAATTTCCTCAGCTTTCGATTGAGACTATTTAAAAAAATCTTGAAAATACCCTTTTTGAGATATTCGACTTTAAAGGTTTTCCGGCAATTTTCTCGGGGAAAATGGAAAATTTTTGAAAATCTGACCTCTTAATCGGAAAGCTGAGGTAATTTCCCATCGAAATTATATGGCTCATATTTTTTCTATAGGTGCATTTAGATGCTTTTCTGACGAGTTACAAATTGAGCAGTTTGGCTTAATAAGGCCGGTCGCGCGCACCCCTGGAGACTTGACGTAAAAGGACCCAAAACCCACATAGATGTAAACCTGCCGCGTTAAAACCTTACTCTAACTTATACGATTATTTTGACTTTGACACTTGCAGATTTGCAGGTAATGATAGTCGCCATCTAGTGGTGGATGCCGAAAATGATGTAAGCACATTTGAAGTGGTTGAAAATTTTGAATTTTAGGTTTACTTAAAATGCGATCAATATTTTTAAGATAACTGTAATAGAAAAATCACTGAAATTAATTGTATAAATAGTGAGTTTTTTCAAAAAATTTAAATAATAATTTTTTAGTAATTGGGCCATTATTATTGATGAAAATTTCTACCAGTGTGCAAATGACATTATTTACTTAAACCCTGTGGCGTTGTTTCGTTTCTAGTGTCTATCGATCGGAGAATACTCAGTGTTGGTCTCCTTATTCGCTTTCATCTTCTTGGTCCTGCTCGTTCTCTACGCCCACTGTACAGTCGGTGAAAGTTTAATCGCGGAGGTGTGAGGCGGTGGTTTTGCTCGATCACGACGATCAGCTCACGCGACGATCGTTCAAGATTATGTATATTTTCATTCATCATATATTTCCAGAGCAATCGAGTTTGCGAGGCTTACTACAATTGCAATTGGATCGACATGAGGCCGGAGAACGCAAGACTGCTAATACTGTGCATGGCCAGATCGCAGAAACCCCTGCGCTTGACCGCCGGCAAATTTACCGATCTGTGCTACCAAACTTTTACCGACGTAAGAGACTTCTCCGATTGTTTGTTCTGTGCTTCTGGCTTTTGTAATAATGGCTCATTACGCGTCATTACAGTCAATCAAAACATCCATGGGATATTTATCGGTATTGAGAGCAGTCATGTAGTTTTGAGAGTGGAATTTTCGGAATTCAATAATAAACGTTACATCACATCTTGCTAAACGTATCGTACACTCCCACAGTAAAAACCAGTCAATGAATTGAAGATAAAAAAATAAAATTTCAACTATCACTCGAATCTCAATGGATTAAGGAAGTAGAAAGGAATGTGAAATGTTTATTCAAAAACGTAAAATAATTACAAAATTGTATTTATTTGCAGTTAAGAGAACCGGATATTTTTTTTATTCCTAAGTTGTCATGCTACAATAATTCTACATATTTATAGTACCTGACGCAAGGATAGAATAAAGCAATATAAACGTGAGCTGCGTGTGTATAACATTTACATACACGCGCTTTTTTTTCGTCGTACCTATCTGTGATTGGAGATAAAAAAAATGAAAAAAAAAATCCTATGAAATGACCGTTAAAATATATAGGCATGCAGCTAGAGTGCCATTCAGAAATTATCATAGTAAAAGTTCATGTACATTATTACTTATATTAGTGACGGACGGAATGTTCGATTTTCCTTGTTTTACAATCTTATGCAGTGTATGAGTTTAATGAATGTATCCTAAAATTTTCTCTGACTTATACTGATCCTCTCGCATACAATCTTTTCTTCCGCGCAAATTTAGTACAGTACAATAGTAAATAATTTTCTATCTCCTTTAATAAAGATGAGAAAAAAAATTGACCGAGTTTATTAACCAGTTGTGCATTAATATATATGTACAAAATTTGCTATACTTTACTACGATTAAAATAAAATTTACGTTTCCTTAATTTTGTATTTTTAACATGATAAGCAAGTTATAAATTGCTGCAATGGAAATCGTTCGATGATACATGTATTATTTACAAATGATGAGAACATGCGCGCTTAAAGCCAAATTTCGATTTAAAAAAATTGTTGGCCATGAATATCTTAACGCTACATTTCGAATTCAAAAGTGTATATAATCCTAGCCATACAAAAGTATTAATATTTTACAGCCCTGTTTATGATTAAATTACACTTAAGGTTTACAGACTAAAACCTTCAATTTGAATTGATCTGCTAATCGACACTTTTATTTAAAGTACATGAGACGAAAAGATGAGAATGGCACCCTGAGTCGAAGAAGCACGGTATTATGCGGATCTGTCAATTACACTGTGCTTAACCGAACGATATTGAATTTTCCTACACGAGACTGCGCTTTAATACGTGACACACATTTTCCGTGAAATCCTACATGCAGTCTTTGTAGCACAATTCAACGCTTTTTGCTCCACTTATGCTAGCAGCTATTGTACGCCGATGCGAAGGTCCAATTATTTACAAGTATAAAAATTGTTGCTTCGACGATCGCAGTGCGTAAAATACTTTACAGAGTTTATTTAAATTTTCTAGTCTAGTTAAGTACAAGTTATATCGCTAGGCTTATGAATAATACTATCTTGTAAAAGGAAGCTAATTTAGCCAAGTCTGTCGATTATCAGTCAGTTGATTATTTTCTTCATAATCAAATTTTCTCCAATGAATTCTCTCGGTTGTCACGATCTACGATTGGGTCGATTTCGGCAGGTTCTTTTCACTGGGTATCGTTTGAGAGTTGTGTCCTCCAGCTTTGGGCGAAGGAATCGGTGGAGCCGAAGACTTGACTGCCATGCTGCTATTAACGTGGCTGATTTTTCTGGGTGATTTTGGAGCTAGATCCATCATTGAAAGACTACTGGAAGAATACTTTTGCTTCATTAGTGAACTGCCGTAGCCGCTAACTGAACCATTACTGCTGGCACCCGTTACGTTGGATGCCGCAGCCATCTCGCTCGACGGTTGTTGTTTTGAGACAAAAGCTTTGGTTTGTTTCAGCAAGTGATGATCGTTGCAAAGTGCTGAGATCAAAGGTAGATCGAGATTACGACTTTTCTCTCGCAAGCTCGTGATATCGAGCATGACGTCACTTTGTTGTTGCTGTTGCTGTTGTTGTTGCTGTTGCTTTTGATGCTGCTGTTGCTGCTGATGCTGTTGCTGCTGTTGCTGTTGTTGATTACTGTTTTGTTCCAATTTACGAATTACTGCGGAGGAAGACTGATCTGGCAGTGCAACGGGAAGCTTGGCTTGAGGTTTCATTGGTAGTCTCGCTTGAGGCTTTGGATGATATTGCGGTGGATCAACTGGATTAGGTGCTGGTGGCTTGGGACCGATTTTTGGCTCCAACGTACTGCTACGATACTTGGGCAGCGGTGGTTTATTTGGAGTTGTCAAAGTCTGCGAGTATAATAATCATAATTTTACAATATGTTTTAGTTTTAAGTTATCGAAGCAGATTTAAATAATCGAGTCTTACCTGAATATCGTAGGGCGGCGGTGGAGGTGGCGGTGGTAATCTTCTGTGAGGCTGCAACTTGGGTGCCTCGCTCCTCGCTAGAGACAAAGACGCCAAGGAACTGGTCATCGGCTCCTCGATGCCCTTGAGGATGTCTCCGTAGCTTCTCGACAAGTTCTGATGCTTCTGAGCCACCAGTCTCGAGCTAGTCGGAGGCAGCGGCGGCGGAGGAGGAGAGGCGTACAGATCCTTGCTGCCGCTCGAGCAGGTCAGCCCGCTGTACAGAGAGCTCGTGCTCGCGGCGTACTGACTGCTCGGATTGCCGTAGAGCATGCTGTTGGTGTCGCTGAGACTAGTGAGATTTTGATTGGATGCCGACAGTGACGAATTGTAGGCCAGATACGGTGTGCTGCGATACAGCATCGACGACTTTTGCAGCGGGTACGGCGGCGGAGGCGGATAGTGCGCCATGGCTGCGATGATCGAGCCCTGCTTCGCGTCCATGTACTCCTGGTGAGACAGAGCTGGATCCTTCAGCGGAAACATGACGTAATCCACGTCCGAGTACAGCTGCTGCTTGTACTGCTCGAGCTGAGACCTCGTGACCGGCTGACCGGTGTAGACCTTGGCGTGAGGGGCCGTTGGAGGTGGCGGTGGCGCGGTCTCAGGCGCGGGAGGCGGTGGTGGCGGATGCCGCTGCAGTGTCTGATGATGATGTTGCTGCTGCTGTTGCTGCTGCTCCGATTGATGCCGCGGAGGCTGCTGATGAGGCGGCGTGTAGTGCGGCAACAGCACCGGACCCGTGCGCGTCGCGTGAACGTCTAGGTAATTATTCGGACCAACGACGAGAGCCGCCACTGGGGCGTGCACCGGCGTGGGTTTCATCTTGTCACCTGGATACGTTGGCGGCTGTATGCGCACCGGAGGTGGCGGAGGAGGTGGTGGTTCTCTGTTTCAATGAAATTATCATTTAGCATTCTCATTCGTTAATTAATGTAGAGTGAAATTGAAACATTGTGTGCTTACCTTGGCATCACAGCGTCGTTTCTTGGCGGCGTGGGTGGTGGCATCTCGAAGCGTTCCCTCGGATAAGCCGGCGGTGGAATCGGTGGACACTGTTGCTGCTGCACCGGCACGGTGCCAGGATACGGCGGTGGCGGCGGCAGTATCCTCTCGCTGTCGTTTCTCGGTGGAGGAAGCGGCAACCCTCCCCTCTCGCTGTCGTTTCTCGGCGGTGGCAGTGGCATGACAAGCCTCTCGCTGTCGCTCCTCGACGGTGGCGAGGGTGGCTTTGGCGGTGGCATGCGCACGTAATCGCAGTTGGACTCGAGCGAGGAGCCGACGCTCTTTCTCTCGGGATATTTGCCCACTATCAGGTCGGTGAGATCAGTGGCCGAGAGCAATGGAAGCTTTCCGTTGGGCGGGTCGCTTCCATCACCGCGAAAACTGCCGACACTGAGAATACTGTTGCTTCGCGATCTGCCTTGTTGCTCGTCATCGGCGTCAATGTTGTTAGCCTCGGTTTGCTCCACCGCGTTCAACTTGGCCTTGAGGGTAGGCTGATCGGTCTCGTCGTCGCCCTGGCACAAACTGTAGATCGGCTCGTGCTCGTTACCGCCGCTCTGTCGACTGTAGCAGGAGCCCGAGGTCTCGGAGCGCAGTCCACTGTGTATGGTGTAGAAGCCCGATGTCACGGAGACCTCGTCGGTCGTGGACTGCACCGAGGACTCGTAGGTGGCCGTATCGCGATCGTCGTTGATCTCGCTGTTGCTCGTCGGCAGGGTGTAGACGCCGCTCGTCTCGCTGCCCACGTCCGTCGTCGAGGCGTACTTGTTGATGTTGTTTGCGGCGTCGCAGCGATCGCAGAGATTGTCGGTGGACAGGCGCAGCTGCGACGAGTAGCCGTGCTCGAGATTCGAGCTGGCGGTCGAGACGGGCCGCCTTCTGCCGGTGGCCGCGGCCGCGGCGCGCAGCAGGGCGGCCGTGGCCGAGCCAGCGGCCAGTCCGGCGGAGGAGGGACCGTTCGAGGAGCCGTTCGTGGACAGGTTGACGACGACGGTGCTGCAGGTGCTGCTCGACTGGGAGCCGAGGGCGAGCGAGGCGTTGCTGCTGTTCTCGGCCGTGTTGTTGTTGTTGTTGTTGTTGTTGTTGTTGGTGGCGGTAACGGTGCTGGCGTTGGACGCAGCGATGGACTCGTTGTGGGTCTTGTTCTTGCTCGGAGGGTCCTCGCTGGGCAGGGGGGGAGCCGCGTCGGGCTCGTCCTCGCTATGCACCCGGTCGCTCACGATGCCCGAGGTCGTGTTGGAGGACGTCGTGGACACCAGACTGATGCGCTGATCGGTGCGGGAGCCGCGCGTCCTCATGGACAGCTTGCAGCGAGCCGGATACATGTAGCAATCGCGCAGCACGTTGCGCTCTGTGTACATCAACGAGTCAGTGACATTAGTAATCGGATCGTCTAGGGCGTTAGCGACGGTTAGTGAGCGATACGCACCTTCCTCCTCGCGCCTCTTGGCCTCGGAGACGCGCGGCGCTATGGCCATGAAGAACTGATGGGTGTCCCGACAGAGAGCTAGCAGGAGCTTGCTCTTGTCGTCGCAGCCGCTGAACAGGGTGAGCTTGCTCGGCTGGTCCACGGCCCGGATCTCGAACTTCTTGCGATCGAAGCCGAGCTTGCCGATGTTGTTCCAGGTGAAGACCTGGGGCTCGCCCTCGTCGGCGTAGACGCGAACGCCCCGGGCGCAGATGGCCAGGAGAGCTCGGCCGGGGCCCTGCTCGCTCTTGCTTCGTCGCAGCCGGTAGAGATGGGCGTTGAGCGGAGCCTCCAGCAGGACGGCCTCGCGGATGTAGGAGAGCTCGGCCTCCTCGCGGCTGAGCCCACGGTTGTTCTTGTGCTGAGTGGCCAGGACCGCCAGGGCGTTCTCTTCCATGCAGATCTGCGCAATTTCCGAATGTATCATTATTAATCGTTAATTAGAGTTGGATAAAAGTGATGTAAAGTGATGTAACGTTGTACTCACGTGAGCCGGGAGATACTCGGAGGCCTTGCAGTAGGCCTGGGCCCGTCTGCCGTGGCGCTCGTCGTTGTAGTCGCCGAGATCGGCCTGGAGGGCCAGTCCGGCGAGCTGCAGCAGCGGCCCGTAGACCTGGTCCGACTGCAGCGGGTGCTGGCCCTGCCAGCTCTCGATGCCGCCCCCGTGGCGCACCACATTGTCGCGCAGCTGCAGGTAGTAGTGATGGCGGGTCGTCTCATCGCTCAGCAGCAGCGGCGTGTCCACGTAGTAGCGCACGCGAAAGTATAGGACGAAGGCCGGACGTCCGGTGCTGTCCAAACCCTATTTAAACATAAAGAAGAACAAATTTGAAACTTGGCTCTTTGCATTATATTGTTGTGTGTAGGCTCGAGAATCGTCGTTGTCGGGGGGCCTCGACATAGGGATGCTGCTGCTAAGAAGAAGAAGAAGAAGAAGCCCAGCAGCACAGCCACCCAAAGCTATAATATAATCCGATTCGTTTCGCGTGATTCGAAATTGCCGAGTGTGTGGCGACCGGCAGCGGCGCGGCGCGTCGTTCGTTGTCCTCGTCGTCGTTCGGAGCACACGCAACAACAAAAAAGAAGTCAAGCTATATAACTTGTTCTCGAGGCTACCGGTGTTACGCCCATCTTTCAAAAAGCTGACTCGGCTTTTCGAGAGAGAGAGAGAGAGAGATGAGCAATTGACTTTTTGCTCTTTTAATCCTCTGCTGCTGCTGCTGCTAGCCCGAGCAGCAAACTTATTACGGTCCGTGCAGAGTCGTCGCGCGCGCGAAGAGGCGAGAGCGAAGAGAGGAAGAGATTATACTGCCATGCCTGACTCTGCCTATATAGCTGCGGAGTGAATGCAATCAGATTGTGACAGGAGATGCAGGAGATGCACATTCCGAAAGTTTATAACGTGACGTTCGAGCGAGCCGGGGCTATATACGTACTATATTACTATATATAATAATAATATATAATGTATATATGAATAAGAGCGCGTCAACGCTGGCTGCTTGGCATAACTCCGAAGGCGATACACGGGGCTTTTGTCCGGACACACGCGGCACGCAGCCAGCCAGTAAGTATGTAGATTCTCGGAGTCGAGAGAGAAATTCCAGTGGCTCGAGATCATGTTTATTTTTTCGCCGGGATCCCCGTATTATAATATTATATATATATCGCGCGAGTCCATAATATTACGACTCTCTGCTGCGGCTCTCCCAACATTGATTTTCGCAATGAATTTTTATGCCTGCCTTCTTTTTTTCATAGTATTATACGCAATATTGCGCGTGTCCGCACGAGATACGTGTACGTAGGTATAAACAAAGCGACGAGTTGACGAATAACTGCCTGCACAGGGGATATCTGGCACCTCGACGACGAATTATACTATAGTCATACGACTTCTTCTCGTTCGTAATTCGCACGAGAGTCTCGATCCGCATCTCACGAAGGAAAAAACAAAAATTCGTATACACAATAAATCACCGAGCGCTAACGGAGCGTGCGACAAAAACAACGTGTTTTAGAGACGCGACGACTAATGCCGCGCAGAGTGCAGCAAGCGGTGTGCAGTGACCAGTGCGAGGAGGAAAAGAGAGAGAGAGAAAAATAAGAAATATCCTACCGGCTTCGATTTACACTGTTGGCAAATTAGATATGTGTGTGTATGAGTGTTGTGCGGCTCCGGCTTATACGTATGTTATATATAGTAGTTGCGAGTTGCAATTTCGTCGAGCATATATAAGGACCCATGCATGTATGAATATTAAATAAGCCAGAGCGGAATTACAGTCGGGGCCATATTATACGAAATAGCATGTGTGTCCGAGGCCGAGAGTAACAGAGAGAGAGAGAGAGAGAGAGAGAGAGAGAGAGACAGAGACATTTTTTTATTCCTTTGGACCAGCCCGCGTAATATTTTTCAAAACCGTCTGCGAGCGCTTACTCTGCCGTACGCAGAGTGTCCTTTGTAACTCGTACGTTTACTGGCGATTCGATACAAATAAAAATAATCCGTGGCGTGGATAATTATTGCCTGCGAGTCTTGATCTACATCATTATTCTTTTTTTCATTTTATTTTTTTCGATCCAAATTCAAGGCTACTACGATGCATATAATTTCAGCTGCAGTAACGCACCGCTATATACTTTTGATCTATAAATTGTAAAAATTGACGCCACATGGAAATATTTACAAGTCGGCGCGTGCGATGAAATTAATAATATGATCTATTAAATACGAAAGTCCAAAGTCACGGCGAGGTGAGTTTAATTAAAATTTCTTTCGATACGATGAATGCGATGAATAACGTCGAGCCCCCGAGGCGCGTAACACGATACCACGATGTAGGCGATTTACGCAAAAATAGTAGGAAATACTCACGTAGGTATGCGAACTCCTCCAGTTTTTGGGCGCGTATTTGCTTAGCTTACTCTCTGGATCGACGAACAAATATTCTCCGTCTGGAAAAATAAAGCAATATATTCAGTATGAGACATCGTTGGCAACGTGCATGTGAAATGTGCTGTTCATAATAGTTTCAGTATATATTATAGAAGGTATAATCGGAGTACGGCAAGAGGGTTTACGCGCATCCACGCCCGTATGCGTAATGGCTTCGGAGTTGTCAATGAAAAATCGGAGCTAAAAAGCTGTACGTTGGTGCAAGAGAGCGAGACGCGCGCGAGGAGAGAAATGCCATTATAGGTATAGACGAGCGCCGAGATAATGTACTTATAAATATTGCCCAGCTGGTCTGACTCTCCGCAGGGCTCGGCCTTATATACATTATATACACAGCGTGTGCATAGAATATTATTACGAGGAGCATAAACTGCAGAGAGAACCAACGACTCCGTAGTCAGGCCTACAAGTAGTGCAAGAGTCTCGAGAATAAGGCTCCGAGACGTGTGTGCAGTGTGCTGTGCTGTGCTCGCGCGTGCTCTCGAGCTGTCCAACCCATTGGTTAGATGTAGCCAAAGAGGCACCTGTGTTACCCGGGCGAATATATAACTCAGCCATTATCGGGGAATGCTGCCGCTCCGGGCTATTTTCGCTCTCTCTCTCTCTTTCTCTTCCTTGCAGGACGCGCTGAGATCGCTTCGTGTATACTATACACTGGTGCGTGCCTCTCGCGCACCTATACTCCACTCGGTTGTATCTCCTGTGCACACTTTTCTGCGCTATAACTCGCTCCTCCCGAAACATATCCTATATCCTATATCGCAGAGAGTACTTATTCCGCGGTCGAAAAGTCAATTTTCTCTCTCTCTCGAAAAGGACTTTGGAGGGTGCATCGATCGGTTGAAGAGAAAAAAAAGTGTACGGTAGACGCGACGATGACGGCGCGCGACGCGCGCGTTTGCATCGTGGCCCTACTTCAGCAGCGTGTCGAGCGAGCGATCGAGCGCGAGAAAATGAGAAGGACGTCGCGACTCTGCTGCAGGAGTAGAGTCGGAAGGAGTCTCGGGAAGAGCTGCCGAGAGAGAGAGAGAGAGAGAAAGAGAAGCAGAGAGATGGATGGATAAATGCGGATCAAAGAAAAGGCAGAAAAAAAAGGTCGCGAGTATAGACATTCCACAGCGCGAGCTGCGCGCGATGCACACTGCACGCATGCACACGCGAGGCCAGCGCAGCAGGGCCCGTTCGCCATGGCAGAGAGAAGAGAGTCGGTTTTACGCTCGCTCCATCCTCCGGCCTGTATATACACGGAGTGTGCGGCGCGCGGTATCACACGCACACCATGGCACGAGGCAGGCAGCAACGCACACGGCACACAAAAGCCAGCATGCGCGCGAGCTGTGCAGCATCGGCTTATGGCCGCGAGAGAGGGAAAAGAGTCTCATACAAATGACCGAAGCTACCGCGTTACGCACTCATGCGGCTCGTCCGTCGGCTGCCCCGGCTCGGCAGCAGCAGCAGCAGCACGAGCCGATACAGTAGGGGGGTAAATCACGGCCTACGCAGCATGGAATACCGTAGCCGGTATATGTGTGGGTATACACATACGAATACTACGACAGCGTTTATATATATATACAGGACCCAAAGAGAGCAGAGCAACAAGTCGTAACGGCTGCAGCGCAGCTCGCACTCGAGGCTCTCCGCGCGATGCAGGAGAGAGAGAGATAGAAAGAGGGGGCGAGTATATACACTGTGCATGCCGTACACACACAACACCGAAGCAAGGGCTAAGCGCGAGTCGTCGTTCTCTCTCTCTCTTTTCTCTCTCGCGTCTTTCTCGCGCATTCCACAGAGGCCCGCTGATGCAGCGATAATCGCAATATCGCACATCGTCCTGCCCCCACGCGCCTTATATATACTCTCTCCCTCGCGAAACGCGCGCGCGATTTTACCTTCTATATATATCTGCTGCATAGCGCAGCATGGCATAGCGAAGCTGCTACATAGCTTTTGCTGCTGCTGCTGCTGCTGCTGCTGCAATGTGCACAGAGAAAACAGAGAAAACAGAAAGAGAGAGAGAGAGAGAAACCAGACATGCAAAATCCGACCGATCGCTATCTCTGTAGCCAACGAATAGACCATTGCGAGGATTGCGCAGACACAGCTCTCGAGCCTCGCGGTTAGTCGGCGGACATACGAAACCTTCCCTGCATACGCGCGCCTCAGCCAAGAGATGGGCCAGCAGCTCAACGAGATGCTGCTGCTGCTCTCGCTGTATCTGCGCTAGATCTGCGCGACGCAAGTCTGACCTGCGACCGTTATTGCTGTTCAGCCATCCTCCTCCTCCTCCTCCTCCTCCTTCTTCTGGCAGACAACCTACGCTATGCGCGGCGTATATAATTCGCAGCTCGAGAGTGCAATCCTCTGCTGCTGCTGCTGCTGCTGCTGCTCCGATCTCAATTCCTCTTTTTTGTGCATTCGTTTTTGGGTTTTCTCGGTTTTTTTCATTGCAAACGCATTTTTTGAGCGTAAGTATCTCGGCTTGCGCGCGCGCCGCGAGCTCGAGAAAAAGCTAGAGAGAGAGAGAGAGAGAGAGAGAGAGAGAGAGAGAGAGAGAGAGAGAGAGAGAAGTAGAGAACAGAGGGAACTCGAGGGAGATGGGCCCTGTGCGCTGCTGGTGCACACGCTCAGTGGAATGCACGTCAGGCGGCGGGCGGCGGGGGCACAGAAGCAGCAGCAGCAGCAGCAGCAACACACAAACAGCATAGCATGCGGACGGAGGAGACTGCGGAGAGTCGATGGGTCGAGTCTCGGAGCAACACACAGCACGAGAGAGAAGGACGAGAGAAAGAGGGGGACCCGTCGGACCAGCTAGCCTTGCGGCGCGCGCCAAGTTCGGCCGTTGTATACTCATACTTGTGTGTTTGTATGTATACGAGATCCCAACCGACCGACGGTCTACGAAACGCGGCCACGCTTCGCATTTCTCCATCCAGCGGCTATATGGGCAGCGGTGGTTTAAGCACGTTGCGTTGCTTGGGCAGCTCAACTCTGGACGATGCGCCGATTTTCAAAAGGACCAACCGTCGCCGCTATATACATCGCAACGCATCTCGACTCTCAACGCACTGCACTCGATGCATAAAGTGCGCGCGCGCGCGCTTGGATCCCGCGAGAGACTCCTTTTGAAAAATCCTAACGGCCATTTTGGTCATTGACTCTCGCCGGTACTGCTGTTGCTGCTGTTGCTGATGCTGTCGGGGTCCCGCGCGCGAATTCCATAAGAGATCGCGACTCGGGGCCATTTAGCGTACTTCCATTAACACCCCGGTGTTACGGACGAACGACGAGGAACGCGTCGATTCAACGCGTCGATGCTAAACGAATTGTGTTTATATAGAATATCTCGACGAGAGAGACTCACCTGACAAAATTGCTAGTCCGAAGAGCTCGCAATCTTGCATGCCCTGCTGGCCCAGTAGTTGACATGTTTGCTGGTAGACTTCTTTTACCTTCGATTTGGTCTGCAAAAGAGAAACACGTAAACACGTTAGAGAAGAAATCGGACAAAAAAGAAAAAAATTAATTGCGAGCAATTGGTATCGCGAGATAAGATCGAGCGCGAGAGAGAAAAACTCGTGCGCGTTTTAGTTTATAATAACGCACGGAACGCAGCGAGCAATAGTTCTGGCGCTCAGCGCGAGCCTTAGCGGCAGCGTAAAATGGAGCGAGAAAGAAAGTCTCGGAAGGCTCCGCGGTATATATTACTTATATATGCGGTATAAACATTCAAACACGCACACCACGAGTTTGTCTCTGAGCAGTATGTCCGAGTTTGTGTACTACTACACCTATTATTACGTATAGGTATCTCGAGCTTCGACGGCTATTAACATTTAAAAATAGAAGAAAAAAAAATCAAACGCGCGAGCTATAAAATCTATTATCGAATATCGTCGCGCGTATATGCATTACAAAGTGCGCTATGTACTGCGGCGACGCATAGAATCGGCCACCGTCGAATTAACGACATTGTTTAATTGGTGCAGATAAGAGCTCGCGGCTGAGCTTTGTTGTATTTACACCGCGCGCATATATATGCATCGCCGGATAATAATCGTTTCGAGACCGAGTCCAGCGTCGATTAATTGTGTGTGTGCAGCTCGAATGTATATAGCACTGCGAGTAAATAAGCGAGGCCCGAGAATGCGTATACTATACATATGAATATTGTGAAGAGAGAGACCGAAAGAGACAGTGAAAGCGTACCACATACCAGAGAGTTTATTTCGAAAACCTGTGCGGCTACCTCAAGTGTGTGTGTGTGTGTGTGTGTGTGTGCGTGTGTGTACATAAGCGTTTACGAGTGTGTGCGTACACGCTGCTCTCGTATTTATGTATATCGCACGCACACGCAACGCATCATGGGTATACAAATCCACACAAATCGGCACAGACAAAGGAGCCGAAAATGACGTGAAAAGATAGCATGACAGAGTGCTTCCGATACGCCTTACCGATCACTCGGCAATTATTGCCGTGACTGCATAACTATACGAGAAGTGTATTATGTATTCAAATACGAGCATCGATCTCTGTATAGTATAGCCGAGAGTCGGTTTGGTCGATAGCACCGCTAAAAATTCCCGCGTCTGGCTGTACAAAATCAGTTCATGTACAACCGATCTGACACACACGCACAATCACGCACGATTATAAGAGTTAAAAGTATTAAAATAATAATAGATGTAATTGTTGTTGTATACTGACCTCGACGATGAAGTAGAAAGGATCACCGGGCAGAGCTCTGATGGCGAGATAGCGGCTAGCGGAGACCAGGGGTTGAAGGCAGGACCGCGCAGCCGTGACAGTACTACCACGCATACTGCATGCTTCATTTCGTCGCTGATACGCCCAGCGTCCTCGCTGCAATCCAAACCGTCCAAATCGTTATTATCATTTTTTTTACCATCGCCCACATCGATTTTCAACGTATTTATTATTATTATATAGTTATATAGATCACTCGCGTTATTGTCGCGCGCTCGCGACGACTAATTAGCCGCTGCTGTGTGCCGCGCTGAGCCGCGCGAGTAGAGCTCGCGATCGAGCTTATCTCGAGCGCCCACCTACGCACATTGTGTGTGCGCGGCGTCATGTGTATCATATACGCGCAAGCGACATTCCAGCGAGCGTGTGATAACACCGACGCGGTACAGTGTACCCTCGCGGCTCGCATGTGGCCCCCGCGATCTCGCGACTGTGTACCGCGTGTTTGCGTCGCGCCAGCCTGTAAGAGCACTCATTATCGCGGCGGAATTATCCAGATATTACGGCGCGCGCACTCGCATTCCCCCGATCATTTCTCGACGTTCGATAACGATCGCGAATATTTTTCATGCAAATCATTGATTTTTCTCGCCGAGCCGTATTCTATATTTTCGTCTGTTATACGATCGCAGTAGCCGTGCAGCCTCACGAAAAATAGACTACGGCCTTGCACGAGATACTTATACACCACGGGTATATAGTTTCCGGCTCCCCTTTAAAAATTAAGCCGATCAGGAAGCGGAAACGCGTACGATTGTTTCTTCGGGCTCGCGTCTGGTACATAATGCTGCTCCCCTGTGATCGCACAACTGCTTCCACTATTGCCTATTTTCCACCGTGTGCCTGGCCTTGAGGGATGTATGGCCTCGGATAGTCGCAAACATCCATTATAATGTAAATATGTGTTTTCCGTGTAGCGCGTAGTGTACGCGGAATCGCGGAGGGAGACACACACGCTGCGCATACAACACATTCCGATCCGCGGCTCTCGGCCAAATTGGAATTATGACCGATAGCCGCGCGTGAGTCGGTGTGACCTACGCACACGCTCCTTACGCATTACTCGCGCAATTATGCCGAATATTTGCGACCTGACTCGACGACGTGACTCGACGTATAGATAAACTATAGGTAAAATAGGCGTCGTGCATTTAATTCGATAGCAGTTTTTCCCATAGTATACGTAATTTCTTTTATATTACAGAGTGAAACGTCATTTACGCGTGCGTGTGCAGATCGAAGGAATATATAGTATACATAGCTAAATATTATAATATATAATGGCGTTAGAGTAATGAAAATGATAAATACACTATTGCCACTATAATTACCAACTCCAAAAACTTGAAAAATTAAACCTACACCAAATAGATATTACCTACATTGGCTTTGAGCCTCAACTCCGAACAGGGCCTTGCTGGTTTTTAAACCATCGCCCCCCCCCCCCTCGATTCAAATCACTATTGGAGACTGACTTTTCTATCTAGTGGGCGTGAAGTTAAGAATCGTTTACGTGAGTGCCGTCTACTGCACATGCTCAAAGCGAGCGAGTTAACGAAAGTCAGGCTCGATTCGAAGCAAAGTTAGTAGGTATACGCTAGGTGCGCAAGCCGCGTGCGATGTCGTATCGAACGCAGTCGTACACGATCCAGTAGCAGCAGTCTGTATCTCTGTACCATCGCTGCTGCAGCTCTCTTGTGCATGCGTGTACGTGTTGTTCGTGTGAAAGTCTCAACGTAAAACGACACGTGTTTCATACACAGCTCGTAGATCTTCGTATACCAGTTGTATCGCGGCGACCGACGCTGCAGTAATTTTCGTAAAAACAGTAAACAATATCTTGATTAACAAGCTTGCGCATCGTGTGTGAGTGGGCAGAATAATAGTATAATGTTTGAAGTTCTAGACATAGATAACCTTAACGAACTCGATGAGAACGGCATGACTCCGTTGCGTCTTGCCACACTCGTGCACAACGAGGCTAGAAGCAGTAACCCCGACAGAAACTTCATCCGTGAGCTGTTTGATATAATATACGATACATATGACGTGAATTACACGGACGAGTCTGGACTGTCACATTTTCACATAGCCTGTACGTTTGGCTATGAAGGTATCGTCAAGAAATTCCTGGAGGCTGGCCATGATCCCAATCACCTCTATGAAAAAACAGGTGAATCGCCGCTACACTTCGCTATCAAGTACAAGAACAGTGATGCGGTTGAATTGCTTCTGAAAGGAGGCGCCAACCCGAATTTAGCCAACAAAAACGGATTGACACCTCTGCACGTGGCCTGCATGCATGACCACGATTCACGAACATTATTATTTGATGGATTGCATATTCAATGATAGCAGAGACCAATATCGGCCGGTGCAGGTGAACGCCCGGACTAATTTGGGCAATACACCGCTGCACTTGGCACTGGAGAACGGCCACGAAGACTCTGTCCGATTGCTACTAGAAAATGGCGCCGACCCGAATGAAGCCAACAATGAGGGATCGACTCCTCTGCACATTATTTGCCAGAAAAAATACGATTGTATTGATTTGGCTGAGACGTTATTTTATCGTGGCAGCAATAAACATCAATCGCTTCAGTTGAACGCCCGGGACAAGTTTGGCCGTACACCGCTACAACTGCCTGTGGCGAATTTATTGCCACATGCGGTCGATGTACTCTTGGATCGTGGGACCGACTTGTCTAACTTCGTTTTTCTGACTGAAGGTCCCTTAACCAGTAGACCTCGACCGTTGGAATTTTCGACTAATTTTAAATTGAATTTAGCATCTCGTGCTATGATCATCGTCGAGAGTCTTATGAAAAAAGGATACGAATTGAACCAAGAGGACGCCTTCGTGATTCTGATTTTGTTCTCTCAGCAAAATATGTTCGTTGAAAAGGTTCATGCTCACAAATATGATTTCCAAAACCAAATAATCGAGGAATTCACGAAAAAATGGATGATGAAGCCAAATCTGTCGCTTTACGACCTACTCCAGTTACGACCCAAAGAGGCGGCAAAACGACTCACATTTTGGGACTACTACAAAATTTCGATTAATGAACGCCTGATTGTAAATTCCGACAGTTCTTGTGAAGTGTTTCTGTGTGAGCAACTATCGAGAGGATTTTTTCGGCTATGGGCAATGGACTCATTCATGAAGCTGATAAATTACCAACTGCCGATCGAAGTTTGTGAAATGATCATCGATGAATCATTCATGAACAAAGACTTATGGAATATTTGTTTGACAGTTTCCAAATGAAGCTCATCATGTCCAAAAGGATAATTGCAGTATTTTTTCAATGTCTGGTATTATTAATATTGTACAGTTTTCGTATATCATTCAAATGAATAAATTTAAAAAATAAAGTAATAAATCTCAAATTGTGTATTCATTATTACCTCACGCGAATAAAAGTTATCAATTACAGAAATCACAAATATACTTAAAAAAAGTATCTTACATTTCAATCGAAAAAGTTCTAGTATTCGCAAAAAACTCCAATTTGCCTTACTCCACTCGAATTCGACGATGTCGGATTAAAGTCGAGTAAAAATCGAAAAATCGAGTTTTCGCACACCCCTAGTGTATACAAATACACACGAGCACATTTTACGCACGTATACGCGATATATGTGAGTTTACACTCAAAAATCTGCTTCCTTTTGCCCAGGACACATACATATAGAGAGAGAAAGAGAGAGAGAGAGGCCAGCTATACTCTCGAAGGACGCCCGCATTCCATCCCATCCAACGCTGCGGCGTCTGCGTCCGTCTGTCCGTTCGACTGTGTATATATACACACATTTATATATACGATACATCGTATGTGTGTATAGGTACACGTTACGCCCACTTATACACACAGACGCGCACACGTATATAATATAAGCAAACGCACACGCCGGGGTAAATACACGCTTTCAGGCTCTCTCTCTCTCTCTCTTTCTGTGTATGAAGGGAAACGAGTACCTATATACATTGGCCAAGAAAAAGAGCTTTGGACACCTTTTCAAGTCCATTTGGGAAAATCACGGACGAGCAACTTATTTATAATCAAGGTACGAGAAAAGTTTGCCAAAGAACGCGAATGACTTGGGAAGCTAAACTTATAATTACCGAATCGAGAGGATAAAAACATATTAATTTCTTCGTTCTCATAGAGATATTTTGCGAGCAAATACATTGCTACTGGCTGCATATCTCTTACGAGATTATAGCTTTATACAAATTTTTTGCTTCGCATGTAGAAGAATACGTGCGAGTACATAGATTGTTTCGAAATTAAGATGTAACAGCTAAGATACGCAGCAGCTTTTAGTAAGAATTTGAATGCTGAGAATGAAGCGGCTGCTGCTGTCACGAGTACACAGGAACCGATCGACACAATGATTCGGAAAGGTCGCATTGTTATATCGCTTCCACGATGACTTTTTTAAGGAATGCCTTACGGTATATTCTAATATTTCCTGCCGCATATACGCATAGCTGTGTATTTTCTCGTTAATTTCAAACGCGCGACGCGATTACTCAAGTGTCGGTGTAGTGTCGGTGAAGTGGCGGCGACGGTGACGGCGGTGGCAAGAGACAAATCTCATTTTGACGAGAGACACACAGAGAGGAGAAAAGGAACTGGATATGAAAGTATATTTTCCCAAGGAGTTTTTGCGCGTAGGCGAGAGAGAGAAACACCAATCGATTTTCAGCTTTAATAAATACAACTCGAGTTTCGACGACGCCGCACGTACACGTTCTCTCTCATTATTCTCTTTCGCTTTTTTTTACTTTTATTTGTTGCGTACGATTAGATATTTGAAATATTTGTCGCACGCCGTGACCGCCGTCTATATCGATATGACATGTGATATGGATTATAAATAGCGATCGGTGCGAGAGTGCATTACATAGCTGCGAGAATGGCCATCAAAGGCTTCGCTGCGATAATAATTAACAAGCGAGTAAACACGAGATCGATCGGCAGATAAAAGTTCAATTAATCGCGCTTTATTATGCCTCGCTCGCTCGTCCATTTTACTGCGCTATGCCGGCTCGCGAGTACACAGACAATAAAATTTACTACTGCGGCCGCATGACAGTTGGCGCGTATACGTCTGGAGGAAGTAGCAACGCGGGTAGATAGTAATATTTTCGTCCTGCACCCGAAGCGCGATATCCGCGCGGGCTACTCGTTGATTAAGTTTCGCGATATATATATAACACAACGACGTCGAGTGCACACGTGTTTTTCTCACAATTATACGCCGCCGCTGCCGCCACCGATCAATCAACCAGATTCCATTCGTCGTAAAAGTTGTCGATCCACCTACTCGACGCGACGCTTTTATATACATTATAATGTAACTCGCGAGCGCCTCGTGACTTTCCCACTTTTTGCCGTCAGTCACGGTTTCTCGTGTAAGTAATTCGCTCGTACACATAAATATACAAAAATACGGCACGCACGTCGATATCCAATGGATGGCATTTCTGATATCGCGACAGAGAGATTCTACATACTCCCGCAACGTTACTTTATACGTGCATGTGTGTGTGTGTGTGCATTTGTAATCGGTGTGTGCCGAGAGCACGAGGCGCGCGTGACGATCACCGCAGCAGCAGCAGCAGCAGCAGAGAACGAGCTCTTAGTGTAGTGAGAGAGAGAGACGAAAATTTGCAGTCGTCGTCGTCGTCGTCGGCCGTGATCTGTGCTCAAGCGCGTATTCGAGCCCGAGTGTGTGTGTATAATGCAGGAATGCGGATGGAAACTGCACGCGAGAGAAACTTGTTAGGAAATAAGCGCGCGCTCGTGCCGTGTAGCCAGCAGCAGCCTCGATGACTGCGCGCCGCGCGGATCTCGTATTATATACTACTACTACTACTACTACTACTACTACTACTATATACGCGCGCGTGCTAAACTTTCGATCCGCGGCGCGAGGACGGAATGTAAGCGACGTACATACGTACCTAAGCTGCTCCGACTATGTAGATCGGTAGTACCACTGACACGCTCTCAAAGTACGGCACGTCGGGCCGAGAGCAAATACACACAAACGTGACGAAATTATTATCGCGGAGCGTATGTCTGTACTGTATATATAACGCGAATACCTCAAAATTATCGCGGCTCGCGGTCGACCACCAAACGGTACATGTACACGTATAGTGCGTCACTCTCGATAAATTCGCGCGATCGGTATTATATACGCTGCTGGCCTACCGAGCACCGAGCTGTATTTTCGGCGAATTCGTGATCGCGATCTTTGCCGCTGGCATGCGGTAAATAAGTAAATATGTATACGCGAGGCGAGCGAGCGACGTTGTATCGAGAAAGAGAGAGAGAGAGAGAGAGAGAGAGAGAGAGAGAGAGATACCGATTGCGCACGTTGCGGTTAGTCCTCGAGTCACGCAAAAAATCGGCATGGATCGGTATGCGCGGCGGTGGCTACTCTCGATCCAATGTAAATAACATGAATTATGTCAGCGTCGATCCTTTCATTGTGTAGCTCCCTTACGGATTAGAAACGAGAGAGAAGCTGGCAATCGAGGCGATTCAAGGGTGCAGAACTCATTTTACATACAAGTCCTGCAATATGACGTGGAATACGCAAAAGTGCGTGCGTAATGTCAATCCTTGGCAGAAAATCGGTACTACACTAGGAACGATCGTACGATTTCTGAGCTGCGTGTCTATTCTCGGACATCGGAATAATGCTTTTTTTAAGGTATTGCTCATTGTCGCGGAATTGCACAGGTCGCACAGGCAACACAGGTAGGAGGCCGCGCGCGAAACTCACTGCTATATGCGTGCTCCTGCGAGTTTACCATGACTCCTATATGTATAGCGCTATATAGTAGTCTGTCTGTAGTATAGTATGGCGTGCGGATGGTGCGCGCATGCGCTCTCCCATTGCCGATTCTCAACTCCGCGAACGGCGAATCGCACACAAGCGAAACTCGGAATACTCGCAGGCAACAGGCCGCGCGGCAACAGGCAGCAGCAGCAGCAGCTCTGGAATGCGTTTCCTCCCACCATGGCTCGACGCGAGGCGTACGTATATGTATACAATATACTACATCAAGCGCGCAAGGAGGCAAGCAGTCACCGCTGCCTGAATGTGTGCAGGCACGGATTTACGAATGCCATGAGCAGCAGCGAGTATCGTACGATCGTCAAGGATCTGCGGAATTCCTGCGGGATAACGCGCCGTGGACTGCGCTACGCGGGTGCAGCTCCAGAATGAACTCGATTGCCGAAACGAATCGCGTGTATATGAAAGTCTACGTTATACGCGGGACGAATCGAGCCTAAAAGAGAGTCGTCGCGATATTTAAAAAAGAACTTACCCCTGTTCAAGTGCGATCGCGCGAGATATGCTTGATCGGAGCTAGCAGTGGAGTAATCTCGGTTGATCTCGGCCGAAAAACTGGACGCACCTCTCGTCGATCGATTTTTTCGGTCACTTAATCGACTGCACTCACACAATTGCGATATAATAATAATTCACACACACACGAGCACGTATGAAACTGCACACTATCTCACAACTCACGCGGGCACACTCGTAGTAATAGTAGTAGATGTTTCGGACTGCACATGTCTTTTCTCTGATTTAGACACGCGCCGACGACGACGACGACAACAACTGCAGCCGCTGCACACGGGACTATTATTAACTGCTGCACAGGACACCGTGCAAATCCGTAGTAACTGTTGGGACTGCAGCAGCAGCTCGAGAGCTTACTGTCCGCGCCACACAGACCTGTTGCCGCGGAAGACAAACAAAGACGGGGATCCTTCGATCCTTGATATATTATAATAAAGAACACATGCACTTTTGAACGCTGCAGAACTGCGGCGGAACACTCGCGAATTATTTTCTCGCGGCAGTTACAATGCACACCCTTACAAAATTTCAAATATGAAAAATACCACAGAGGCCCAGCCACGCATTCGGTATGTGTGTGGTTACTCACGATCGTCGTAGTATATTCGACGAACGGTACGGCGAAGACGACGACACGTAAGATTTTTTGGTCGGCACATCCGCAGACTCACTCACTGTACACCTATATGTTATATACGTGCGGAGCGAGAGAGAGCGCTTCGGCGCAGGCAGGCAGGCAGCAGGCACACTTGGCACTCGCACGCAGTTCGGAGCGCTGAGACGCGCGACCGGCAGGTAGACTGGCGAGTAGCGACTACGGTGCCTCGCGTTTCGCGCTGCCCAATACGCTGTGCTTCTCTCTCTCGCTCGGCTCAGCGCTGAGCCGTGAGCGCGCCTTCTCCTTCGGCATATTCGCGTATAGTATAGTATACACTTACAGACGCACACATACATAGTCTCGCGGCTGCTGCTGCTGAACACGAACCAGCCATAGCAGCGATCGAGCCCCTCCGCAACTCTCTCTCTCTCTCTCTCTCTCTCTCTCTCTTTCTCAACTCAGGTAGATCTGCAACACATACACACACATACTATATACAAAACAGAACGTCTCTCTCGTCGGCCTGTGCACACGCTCTCCCACCCAAGTAACGTCTCTCCCTCACTATATGTGATCTCTCTCTGTGCAGCACATTCCTGGCTCACTCTCGCATGCCAACGACGAGCCGACTTGCCGCCAAGCGCTAATACCTATACCATTATTATTACTATATATATACTATCTTCTACACACATATACGGACGGACTATATATCTTGGCCCACGAGCAGCAGCAGCACAGAAAATGCCTTCTACTCCTTTAATGCGCTGCACTTTCTTGCTCGGGTCCGCAACTGCAGCTACATCGTCGGAGGTTCCTTCCACGCGCTTTTCGTGCTGCTCATGTAGCTGTATGTATACAGACGCATGGCATCAGACGAACGACGCGTAAATATTATTGTGTGTCTCTGGCTGCGAGAGTCATGCTGCGCCGCTCCGATGTTTCTGAGACGCGCTCCGCAGTCATCGATGCAGTTTTTCCGTGCTTCTTGGTGGTTATGAGCGCGTGGCTCGCCACAATCGACGGTCACTGATCGGTGACGAGTGTATCGTATACGCATGTTTTCCATGCCGAACTTGTCTATCATACTTGCCTACAATGCTGTACAATGCCAGAGAGTTTGTACTCTCGCGGCGGAGTTTTATTGTTTACATTTATTACGAGAACACCTCGCCGTTCTACGACCGTGTTTTTCGTCGTTATGTTGGGACATAACTAGTTCAATAATAAGTATTTCCAATAAAACACTTTTGGCCGATCAATTTGGAAACCAAACCACACAAAATTGTATTCGTTGTAAGTTATTATAAAAATATATTTCTAAACGTTGATATTGATTAAAACGTAACAATTGCATTTTTAGAGAAACTTTTTATAATAATGTCAGATAACTAGACAATAGTAGAAATTTGGAGTTCTGGTTATCGACAATTTCGATAATTCACATTTCATAAATTTCGCATACGACGAGAACAAAGAGACATTTGGGGATCAAAAACATTTGGTTAGACACCAAAAAGCAGTCTATAAAGGCCGGAAAAACTATGCAATCGACAAGTGCGAGCAAACATTTAGTTTGTCGCAAACAACTAGAGCAAAAAGAAATCTGGGCCTATATCGAATTCGATCAGAAAAAGAAAAAAAGTCAAGAGAGTTCGCAAAGACAAATTTTCCGACCGGGGCTATAATTGTCTAGTTTGCAGATATAATTGCTAGTAAGGACACCTGAATCGCGCTTATATATTCCAATAACTTTGCTTTTTTATTTTCGATTTCTGAAAAATATGGACGTGCACCATCTAGCGGTGACTTGGGCACTAATTAGCATTCATATCGGTTATAACAAGGCTGAATGACGTCTAAGAGGATACTTACAACACAATGTTAATAAGAGAATTGTGATTGTAGCATAGGTATGTACCTCGGTACTGTATATTTTTGATTACGTGTGTGTAGACAACTTTGGTCTCGTGGACTTTCTACTCAAGCTAGCTCTGTGGATTAGGGCATTATAATTCTCTAAATAATGAGCTTAGGAATAATAGAAATCGAAAATAATTTTTATAATTTATTTATTTGTATATAAAAAATCTACAAAATTAAATTACAACAGAAATTAAAAAGTACCCATGAGCGATCGAAAAAGCTGGGCATGATTTATTTCCAGCTTTAACTATTGGGAAGAAATGTGAGCCTTCAAGGTGGCTTTTTCAATAGTTGGTCCGTTGCTTTTTGTACAGAGATTTTGGCCATTAGAACGGCCATCTTTTACCTCCTCGAGCTCTCACGTTACTTCACGATAGAAGAACTGACATGAGCGGGTCACTTTTTTCCGCGTCGCTCAGATTGCTGTTCGTCAAGTAAATACGCCATAAATCTTCTTTCCTAAATGACTCATTGATGACTTTTTCACAGCAGAGAATCGCCAGCCGATTGCGCGTCAGCTCCAAGAATGCATCCAGTGCCCATCGCCGGAAAATTCCTCTGGATAGTTTCTCGCATAGATGCTCAAAATCGAAATTGATTAAACATCAAATAAAAGTTCATGATGAACCCGAATATTACCAATGCAACAAGTGCGAAAAGATATTTGGACGCTAGTCGAGCTTGATCTCGCATCTAAAGACACTTCAAGATGTAACCGAAAGTCTTGAAAATTACGCAAGCGACAAAGGCGAGCGGATTCGGTGATCCAATTCGATCAACACCAAAAACATACTCCACGAAAGTCGCGTAGATTTCTCATGCGATAAGAATGAAGAGACATTTGGAGATCAAAAAAATTTGGTTAGACACCAAAAATCAGTCCTTACAGGCCGCAAAGATTATGCATTCAACCAGTCCGAGTAGACATTTAGGGTTGAAAGCGGTTTGATAGAACCTCAAGAAATAGACCACGAATTCCGCAAAAATGTGGCAAACAACTAGAGCAAAAAGAAATCTGGGCCTATATCGAATTCGATCAGAAAAGGAAAAAAAGTCAAGAAAGTTCGCAAAGACAATCTTTCCGACCGGTGCTATAATTGTCTAGTTAGGTTGCAGTTATAATCGATATTTGTCCAAACAAAAAATTGGGACAAAGGCTAAAAAACTTGTGACTCGAATAACGTGTGAAAGTGAAGACATTTTGAGCCATGTTCAGTTTTCGGAATGATAAATATTCGGAATCGTAAATATTCGGAATATTTAAAATTCGGAATGTTTGAAAATCGGAATATTGAAAACGGAACATGAAAAATTCGGAAAAACAAAATTTCGGATTAAAAAAATTTCGGAATGAAAAAGTTTTGGAAAAATTAAAATTCGGAATTTACAATATTGTTAGTGGAGAATGTAGACAATAAAATTTCCCATTAAAAATTTTGTGGATTCCGAATTTTAATTTTTCCGAAATTTTTTCATTCCGAAATTTTTTTATTCCGAAATTTTGTTTTTCCGAATTTTTCATGTTCCGTTTTCAATATTCCGATTTTCAAACATTCCGAATTTTAAATATTCCGAATATTTACGATTCCGAATATTTATCATTCCGAAAACTGAACATGGCTCAAAGATTGAATTTTTCATAATAAATCGCCGAAATGCGCAGTTGCATTTAATATCGTGTAAGATAATAATCAATTTTTCAGAGAATGTAAATATTTTATTTTATTTATGCAAATGACTCGAACTTTTTTGAATCACGTGCGTTGAAAAGTTTTTCAGTAAATAGCATGTAATTCATCAATGAAATAATCAAAAGTGTTCGTATTTTTCTAGACAAGGATAAAAATGCGCAAATTTCTATAATAAAAATGTTGTCAATATGACAGTTTCTTATCTTAAACTGTATGCTACCTACAATATATTTTTTCCCCATCTACTGTATAGTGTTGGTATTGTATTTTGACACAAAACGAAATTATTGGTTTTGGCAATTTTGGGTCCAATCTTGGCGCTAGTGAAAGAATTCGATAAATTTACTGACGAATTGATTAATTTTTCTACAGAGCAAGTCAAATTTTAATCTACATAACATAAAAAAAAATTATATTGTTTTCATCTATTACATAATTATGCGTAATGATGTCAAACAGTTTTTCTACAGATGATAAAATAACTATGTGTACTAAAAAATAAACTAATAAATATTTGTATTATTTATATTATTAATGTTATTATAATGTTGTCTAAATTTTCAGCTGATCCCTCTAGGATAGCTGCAGCGAATGTTTTATTCTTTTTTATATCTGTGGTGGAAAGGCATAACGACTTAAGTCCATTTTTTTGAAAATCGATTTTATGATAAAAAACGTCTATATTTAGTGTCTATTTTAATGTACAAGGGTCAGAATAGACGAATATAGCGTCTAACGTTAGTTGCAGCATCGTGCATAACGACTAGAGTCCATTTCGCGAAGACTGGGGAAAGGCAAAACGACTTAAGTCCACCCTTGCGAGTTTCAAAATGCTATAGAGAGTCTAATTTTATTTGAAAATGAAAGAAAATGATATTAGAATGTTAAACATAGCTCCACACTCTTCGAATGTTGTGAATTACACTATATGATTGTTACATTTGATACGCGAGGAGCAATTTTCTCGATTTTCAGTTTGGCCTTTTTTCGTTGCAAGATTTGAGATCTGACGGCAGTATAACGTTAAATGAGCTATCTTATCAATGTAAAATCATTAAATGAGGTTGTGCGAAAAAACTGCGCGAAATTATCGATATTGAAATAAGTGTGACCGCCAAAAGTGGACTTAAATGCAAACCGTGGAAAGGCAAAACGACTTAAGTCCATATTTTTTGCTCCCTATCATCGCTATGATGCGCCTTTCAATTTCATAAGTACATAGTTCAAAAGCTACCTCATAGTAGCTTAAAACATCATAGGTTCAGACCTCAACTCGTCCGCGGCTGGCACAATCAACTTAAAACGCGTTTTTCTCGAAAATACGAAAAATGGACTTAAGTCGTTATGCCTTTCCACCACAGATATACAGTCTATTATTTATTTTTCTATACAGCCATGTGGGACGCTCGTGTATTAATACAAAGTTGTTTGCTAAAAAATACCATCGTCGCGTTCGCAAAAAATGAATTTATCGCGAATGCGAAAGCTCTCGTTGCGTGCAATTTTTAGGAATGACTATTTTTAGGTTTTCGCGTCCGCTAATTGTGCGAATAGACAGTCTCTTTCAATTATAACTATTTCAATGTATGCAAATTGAAATTTTTTTTGC